AAAGACCAAAGAGACGAGGGATTTAAAGTTCAGATTTTAATTTCATACCCTTTTTTTTATTTGTGAAATTAGATTTCTTTAATTTTCTTTATAATTTTAGTTATGGTAAATTAGGGCTTTAAGAGGGAACCACGATTCTTATGAGAAAATGTGTTATGTTTTATGAAAAATAAGTTATTGGATTAAGTCATTTACTTTTATCATTAGAGTGGTTAAAAGGATTAAAGAAATTTGAAAATTCGAGAAAATTAAAGAATTTTGCGCACGAGAGGTTTGATAAAATGTTATCCCTTAAAATTATGAGATAAATTAAGTTTAAGAGTGTATGATGATTGTAGACACTTCAACCTTTAAAACCATGCCTTCAAATTTCATAAATGAGATCCATGCATTAATTTGAAGATGATGTCTTTTATAGAAAACTCTCTTGCTATAGTTACTGCAAAGTGTGGATACCTGAGTTACGAGATCAGTTTTTTAGTGAAAAAAAATTCTTCTTGTAATCTTATTTATGATAGTATTAAACTAAAAAATTTTAGAATTTATTTTAAATGCTTATAAGAGTTAGGAAAATTATTTTTGTGTAAAACTAGTAAATTTAAAAGAAATAATTTCTACTTTTATTATGTTAAGTTTTAGAAGTTTTAACCATAAAAATTGGTCATGACATGTAAAAATTCATCATAATTACATTGAATCATGAAATTGATTTATCTACTTTCAAGATCATTGAGATAATTTTATTCAAACTTTAGAATTGAGTAAAAATATTATAAATGATAAAAAAAAAATTCTTCAAAAATTTAACACAATAATATTTATTAAAACTTGAATTCAAAATTAAATTAAGTTCAAATAAAATAATTTTATGTCAATTGCTTCATGTTGGATGATATAATGTAATATGTTTAATACATAACTTATGATTTTTAAAATTTTATTTTGAATGCAATATTTAGCAGGTTCTATGTCGTAAGACTTGAATACTAATTACCTATATGTTTATATCTACATGTATATGAGAATGATGGTGCTTAAGTCTTAGTATACTAACTTCTTTATTTGACTTTTTTAGTTACAAGTAAGAATTAAGTGAAAAATAAATAAAATTTGTTAAGGTTGACACAGCTATTAATTAAGATATAAATTAATGTGTCATTTTAACTTTATTTGTAAATATTATATCTAAAAATATTATAAATTTCTAGGGACTTTAATACAAATATTTATTATTATTATTATTCATGAATGATATTTTAAGCTTTAAAAATATTTGATAAATTTTAGAATTCGAGCCATTTCAAATCTGGCCAATCACAATCACCAAATTTAGGGCATGAAATATTCAAATGAAAGTTGAAAACAAATTTTTTTTTTTCTATACAGGAGATCGAGAGGATATAAAAGAGAGCAAATAAACTAATGTAGAGTCGATAATCGCTATTTATTTGCACTTTAATAGCATTTTTTCTGTGGGTACTATGATCCAACAAATTGCTTCCCTTATTTGAGAGAAATCTAACAATTGCATGTTTAGTAAGTTGACAATTGCTAGAAATGAGTTATTTGGTTGTAATGGGAGGGGCCTCATGAGTAAACTAAGCTGGCAATGACAAGCATACAGAATAATGCAGACACAATCAATCAACTAGTGGTGTTTTACTGTTTCTGTTTTCATAAATTAATTCAATGGATTCAAGGGCTTTTCTTTGGCTGAAAATTTGAGATTTCATATACAAAAATGAGTTAGATCCTAGGCCTCCATAAACTACCTGACTTGTGAGTTTGATTTGACACCTGAAAATAGCCAAAAGGTAACAACGAGAGCACTTTCCTCTTCTGAAAGAAAATTCAGTGTATTTGCCATTCTTTTTCAGCTAGCCTACCAACATGGACCTTGCAAACATATGTGGAGTAAACTTCCTTTCCAATATCTAAGTTTCAGTTCCTTTACCATTTGACTTTGAAAAGTTATTATGTTAGTTTTTTACTTGATAAAAAATTATTATTCATTTTCATTTATTTATACTTTTTTTTTCATTTTATATATAAAAGACTAAAATAAATAATGTGTTGCAAAATTAAACAAAAACAAAAAGTTTTATAAAATAAAGAGCTAAAGCAATCAATACGTTTAATTTCAAGAATCACCTCTCTGCCATGCCAAATCACTAGAGGCATGAAGTGAGATTTATTTTATTTTTGAAGTCTAAGAAAGGTATAAATAAGATCTCATGCAAAATATTCAAGTAGTTTACCAATAGTAAAATTCTAGTGGTTTAAATATAGATGAAGAGTTTGCTTGTATTTCAAATATAAAGAAAAGTGCTTGGTGAATATTCTTTGGAATGTTCACATTTTGAAAAAGATAGAAGATGTAAAGATAGAATAAAAAATAATAAATGCAATAAATGATATGATATAATGACAAGAAAGAGATAAATAAATAAATATTAATACTATTTGAGTATTTATAAAAGATTGATTAGAACCAAACTTAACTCCAATTTAAATTTATTTTATCTTATCGTTTGAGAATAAATGGTTCAGACCGTAGTTTTTACCTTGAAAATCTTATAAATTATGTTTTATTGATTAAACAAACAAGCACGAAATGAGTGACTTTTTCTTTGTTCATCAGTTTTGCTTTCAATTATACTTCGCACTAAGCTATAAGGTGATCTCCAACACACCCAAAATTAAGAGCTTAATAGGACAAAACCCACCAACCAGTCCATTATATATGTATATAGTGCGTTGGATATTTTTATAAAAAATAATGGTGAAAGGCTAACTTTCACTGTTGGAGCTCTGATTTGAGGTTAAGGATGAAGATTGAAAAATCCAGCAAGTTCTATCTACTTTAAACCATGGCCCTCAAAAATGGACATAATTGAACTCCGAAGTTGTTTAGGGGATAAAGGAAATGCACATGGACTAACATCATGGCAAGTATATGGAGGAAGAAACTTGTGATTTTTATGCATTACATATGCCTTTTGAATTATACCACTTTCATTAGTGACATTAATCATTCTCTCTTCCAAAACAACACAAGCCCTTGGCAGAAAGTTTTTTATTATCCTGTCAATTTTTTTGGACTAAAATGGGAGACTTTTCTACAACATATGTATAGGAATGTATTTAATGAGATTAATTTTTATTTTAAAAATGCAAAAAATAATTTTATATTACATAATTAATTATATATATAATTAGTCAACATAAAAAAGTAGTAAGTTAGTGATCATACGATAAATTTAAAAAGTTATGTAAATTTTTTTAATCTTTTTCCATTTAAACAAGACTAATTATTTATATTTATTATTCTCATTTTAATAAAAACTAAGTGTTGGGTCAGTTAAATCATGTCTTTTATACATCGATGTATTCCAAACAAACAAGAAAATCTTGTTGGAAATACCATGATGATGATTGCAACATAAAATTATGGATAATTTATACTTGAAAAGGTAGTGCTGATTGAGACATACATTCTAGACAACGTCTTCAAACTGAGCTTAGTATTGTACATTTGTTTTGCCACAGAAAGAGAAGTACACCAACTAACTATTGATGAGGGTTTAGGAAAACCTAGTATACCCAAATTCAGACCTAAAATGATGTCTCTTAAAAGAGGGTTGATCTTGCAAACCATTTACAACCTAAAATGTTGTGATATTTATTTATTTATATTTGTGATATATTTTCTTCATTTTTAATGTAATAAAACTAAAGTTTAAAAAATTGAATAAAAAAGTTACTTAAAAACAATCAAGACAAAGAAGACAAAGATGACAAAATCACTTTCATTTAATAGCGAGAAAAAAAATAGTATGATAGCGTTTAAAAAAAACATTAATATTAACTATTTCAACTACTTTATCAAACAATATTATTTTTATTAAATAAATTTTTAGCTAATAAATAAATATTCAATTACTTAAAATGTTGCCAAACACATTCTACATTCTTTTATTAGAAAACTATATAAGTTTGCAAACATGCGCATTATTTACATCATTAAATATTTTTCTTCCTATTTAAAGTTCTACTTTTATTTATGTTGGCGATATAATGTTCTTCAATATTTGATATTCGTATTTAGAATATCTAATATTTCGAATGTCATAATTAAGTTTCTTTAAATCACCATTAAATATAATCACTGATAACTTTTTTTAGATAAAAAATTATTTTATACTTTTTTGAAAAAGTTAATAAAAATTACTTTTTAAAAATAAAGTGAACAAAATATACACAAAAAAATATTAACAACACACTTATTATTTGTTAAAATTTATTTAAAATTACAAATATTATAGTAAGTTTCATTCTTAATTTAATTATTCTTGCTTTTAATTTAATAATTTTCTCTTATACTTTTAAAATTTTAATAATTTTTAACCGATAATCATGAGTATATTAAAAAGATAATATTAAAAGGTATAACCTTAACTATGTTCAATAGGAAACAAAATATTCTTGAAACATCACTAAAAAAAAATTACTTGATTTCTTGTGGAGAACACGACCATGTTTTTGTAATTGTGGTCCATTTTTTTATTCAGTTGTCCATTTTTGTAGTACAATACTTTTGACCTTCTTTTGACACGTTTTAGAGAGTTTTTCTTGAATTCTCAATGGCTCTTGTTGGATTCATGAAGGTAGGGGACCTGTTACCCACAAAAGAGAATTCTTGTTTTCAAGGATATGATTTTAGTAGACCGAAGAACAAGAAAAACTACACAATACACATTCAAACGTCTATTTTCTAATATTCATAGAACAAAGAGTACTTGAGGTTCCCTATTACAACACAATAAAACTAAACCAAACAGATAAAGCATACGGGAAGGGAAATGTTTGGTAACAATTCCCTAGCCAGATCAAAGGCACAACTTTATTCTAGTTCTAGTACATGGTCATAACCTAAAGACATATGGCAATGACATTATTCTAATGCTACCTTTCAGCATTTGACTTTTGTGACCCAACGACTATACCTTGGTCTCAACTTCCTCTTCATTTTCACCTGAAATCTCCTCCAAAGATTTACCCTTTCCCTCAGGCACCAAGAAAGTAAAGAAGAAGCCTAAAATGTTGACCGCACCTAACACAAGCAGCGAATTCCTCACACCAATGCCTGCAGGGTACCCTGCATCTGTTTTGCTCTTGTCCTGGTTCTGTGCCAAATACAAGAAGCCAAATGCACCAACTATAGCCCCTAGCTTCCCAGATGCAGATGATATTCCATGGCAAGTAGATCGGAATCTAGCTGGGAAAATCTCTGCTGGCACCACAAACGTGGTAGCATTAGGCCCAAAGTTTGCAAAGAAGAATGTCAGAGAATAAAAGACTACAAATCCTATCCGATTCTCCTTATGAGTCCAGTGATCATAAGGAATGGCAAGAGCAAACATAAAGACAGTCATAAAGAAGAACCCCATCAATTGGATAGTAAATCTTCCGATCCTGTCAATGAAGGCCACAGTAAACCAGTAGCCAGGAACTGTACTACAAAGAGCAATAAGAGTTTGAGCCCTTGCAATTCTATAAATCTCCTCAAGAGCGTTCATCGTTTTTGCAGCAGGAATCCAACCAACTGCACTAAAGATATCCTTTTGGAAGAGATTCTGACTGTAAAATGCAATATCAAGCAAGAACCAAGTGGTTGTTGTTCCAAGTAGATGCAGTCCATGGTGACTCAAGAACTGCTTGGAGAACAATCCATATGATTTACCTTGTGCCTTATCTTCCTTTTTTGGTTCAGCTTGAATCTCCACCTGCATAACCTTAGACATATCTGCTGCAGCTTGTTCCATATTCTTAGCAACCAGGGCAGTGTAACGAGCAGTTTCTGGCATCTTCATTCTCCAGTAGTAAGTTAATGCAGCTGGAAGTGCTCCCACCATTAGAATTATTCTCCAAACATAGTCCGCTTGTGGAACAGTTGAACCGAATGCATCAACCTCATATGCTGGAGCATCAAACCTGGCCTTGAATGCAGATGAAATTAAAATGGCAAATACACCTCCAGCCAATATTCCAAAACCCTGCATGGCAAAAACTGCAGCGATAAAAGCACCACGAGTCTTCTTATTAGAATACTCAGACATTATAGTAGCAGAAAGTGGGTAGTCTCCACCAATCCCAAAACCAAGCCAGAACCGGAAAAAGCAAAGAGTTGCCATCACAGTCTTTGCATTATGTCCAAAAGAAAGACCTGAAGCAATGGAACATATTACCATTAACATGAGGGTCACGCCATAGACTTTTTTTCGGCCCAAATTGTCACCGAGCCAGCCAAAGAAGAGTTGCCCAGAAAGTGTTCCAACGAAAGCTACACCATTCACAGCAGCCGACACATTGGGAGGCAATGTACCAGGCTTTGGTGCACCATCAACATGGTAATATATGCGCCCAAGTAGCTTTGTCACAAGTGATATGCAGAAAAGATCATAGGCATCAGTGAAAAAGCCCATTCCAGCAATTATGATTGCTGTGAAATGATACCATTGTGTTTTTGCCACATCCAGTGCATTTAGCACCTGAATTTGCTCCTTCCCCATCAAAACTAAACTTTCCTTCTCTTGAACTTTCTCTTTCCCAAATGCTTCACTTCTCTGCAAAATAGATGCATACAGATTATTACGTTAAACTTGTCTTAAATCAAGAGCAATAACATGCCACAATTATGCAATTTCAGGTTAATAATTTCTTGATTGGTGACTACCAACCATATCATGACTATGGAGATTGCAAAACCTATCAATACCAGCACTACAACTCCATAATAACTGAGTCAAGCCGTGAGATTATCTATTTCTGTAAACTTCTAATCCAATTACGACCATAAGAAAGATAAGGCATACAAACAACAAGATTCAGCTACAATCGCAATTCATATTATAAATCATCAGAGCTAATTTTTGTTAGTGAATCATAAATTATACCAAATTATAAGAACCATGATGAAAAATAACTTCAAGTATATCATACAAATAACATATTAAATATATGGTGCTCAAGATAGGAATACTGAACAAATTCACAAGTCATCATAACCACGTTTAAAACTAATTATTCTCCTACTGATCAATCAACCATCAAGCCTAATACTATCACCATCAGGAAAAGACATGATCAGTAAGCTAATAAAAGTTACTCGACAAATATTTTGAAAAAAAAAAAATGATTAACAAATTACGAAAATATACTTGATATATCTTGTACAGAATTAGAAATCTATCTTCTACTATTTTTTTAAAAAAAAATGTTAAGCGTCTTAATAGTACTTTTTAGGATGTGACAATTTAGCCTAGCCTTGGTAACTAGAAAGTAAAAACCACCAACCACGGTGTGCTTATCCGAAACATTAAAAAGTCACAAAAAACGGTGCCGTTTTTAATGTTATTTTTCATAAACGAAAAAGAGAACCAGATTTCAGTTCACTCTTCGCAAACTGGCTTGCGGGGCCATCGGAAACGGGATTCTGATTTGAACAGCGCGTTCAAGTCATTTTACAACTGAGTCCTACAGACTCAGGCTTATTTGTTTTATCATTCACAAAATAATTCTCCTCATTTTGATGGAAAACATATTGTTATAATAAAAATACGTTCACATCTTAAAAATAATCTTAAGGGTTAAAAATTAACTTTAACTAAATTTGAATCTTTCTATAACATAAAGTGATTAAAGTCTATGCAACACTCAATACGAGCAAAGTCCCCTCTGCCCCACTAGAACAAAACATACATATGCAAACAGAATTGATGGTCATATAAATATATATCTATGTTTTAAGTTTTCTTGTGGAAATGATAACATTAAATCTATTCTAAGATGTGCATATCTAAGTCATGCATGTTACGTCTAGAAATGATTCGTGCATGTTGGTTTTTTCAGATGTCATGAAAAAGGGAAAAGATGATGGTCACAAAAAGAAATGCATGCATGGGATTGGGATGAGAATGAAATGATAGATGATTATGAAGCTGACCTGCAAGTGCTAGAGAAGTTGTGATGAATTTGGAGAGAGAAAAGAAAGAGAAGAAATGGATGTGTACGTGAAAGTGTAAATGAAGTAGTTGATGATTTATAGGCAATGCAACACAACAGAGTCGTAGTTCCCCCAAATATTCCATCAGCATATACCCCTCCTTTTTGGCGCCCTTTTCGCCCCATTCAATATCCTTCACCTCTTTCTTCTAAGTCACATCCCCTCCCTTAATTTCTCTACTATTTCACTATTCTTTTTTGTTATTCTGTTAGCATCTATAATATGTTCCCATTTCTCAGTATCAGTCACATTTATACCAAAAAAAAAAAAAAATTACAAAAGAAAAGATAAAAAAAAATAAATAATGATAGAACTTAAATGAAGTATTAACTATGCATTTAGTGTTTTTTTTTATTAAAATTAAAAGTTTCTTTTAATAATTTATAAAATAAAAGTTGAAATTAAAATTCAGTATAAAATATTGAGATAAAATTTTAATATTAATTATAACATTAAAAGGACTTATAAACATTACACTTAAATTTTATTTTAAAATGAATGTGACATAAAATAAATAATATAATAGAGAAAAATTGTGTATAAATAATCTGTAAGTATTTGATGTGTGAATAATGTGTGAATAATGATTCCTCCAATTCTGCAGCAATATATAGGCGATGGTATTAAATAATTTAATTTGTGTTGAAATACACCAATTGTCTTTGCTGTTGTTGGGGGGTTAGGAATTTGTTTAGAAGAACGGGTAATGATGTTTTTCTCCAAATATAGCACAGTGGTTGTTCAGATTGTGATGTACTTGTTGGTTCCATTGACATTGTGCATCGCATGCCACGTGTTGTACACTTTCAACCCAATGCAAATAAAAATGCAGATTCGAATAATTACGAGTGTAGTATGTTACATGCGGCCGACAGGAAAAAACGACAACCTGTAATTCACCACTAGGGGGAGGTGTAAATACCAGTCCTTTTTTTATTTAATGATGGATCCAACTCCAAATATTAAAATTTCGAAAGAAATAAACAAACTAAATAATTTCAAATCACCATTGCAAAATGATAATATTTTACTAAAAATAATGTTTGTGTATCATGCATTTACGTATGTATATGTATATATTTCAAAACTATCAAACAACTATGTACCGATTAAACTTGAGCAGTGATAAGGTAGTAGAGATGACGAAGTCAGGATTGTAATGTTACTGTGAAAAAAGACCACCAGAGTAGCATGTTTGGTTGAGGTTAATTTTGTAGAAGTAATAGCTTTTTTTATATATAAAAATTCACTCAGAAAGCAGACAAAAATAAGTTAAATCAAACTCACAAATACCGAATCAATTAAATGGGATGGTAATCAATCCCTTGTCCGGGTCATCAAAATTGAACCCAATGCAGTCTCAAGATCCAATCATCTTCAAATATGGTTTCAACTTTCTATCATTAACTTGGCAAAGTAAATTGAAACATGCAAGATGAAAACAGACATCTCTATTTTCTGAGGGTAAAAGACTTTTCTTCGCTAGGCTGCAGTGCTATGGATTCATACCAGAAACTATAAATTTCTAGACAAGTTAGTTGACTTCATATTTCTTAGTTATGTACAACATTACAATTACAATCACACTAACAAATCATACTATAAAGAACAAGTTTAACAAAACAATCAACAAAAACATGTGCAAAGAAGCATTTGCCATATCCCGGCTGCTTTGCAATACAACAGGTCCCTCATGCCTTTCATAAAACATGAGTAAGTAGGCCTTGTTCACGCAAGAAGTGAAAAATCCACAACTATTGGGACAATATATACATTGAATGAGGATCCGCAAAGCACCAAGTGCCTATCCATTCAGTACGAAAGTAGGTTTTTCCAGGCTTTTTACATTGCACATAGTTTATCAGAAAGTTGGACCAGCATTTTTAATCACAAGGTCAGGTCAGGATCATCTTCATAATCAAAATCTTGTTCACTTGAAACCCTTATTCTCTTCGCATCTCTTGACCCACCTCTACCTTTCTTTGGTTTACCCCTATGGGACAGATTTATGGAACAGTTTGTGTTAACTAAGCTGTTAATTAATTCAAGAATAATGAAGCACAGATACATTAGTTGAGTGCTTACTGTCCATTAGCATAAATTCCTCCACCTTTTGAACGAGCAGGACCATAATCTGACCTACCATCTAAGATAAACAGAAATACCATGAATAAACAACTAAATTCATGCCAATAAAGTTATTGAAATGGTCACTTATATGAACTCACCATCTCGTCCAGCTGCAAGCTCTTCTGCCTATAGTAAACAGACAAAGAAAATGCATGTTTCAAATCAGAAATAACCAATTTGTGAAAAGATGCCAAGACTAAATAAATGGACCATGAATAAATAGAATTGGATGAAAGAAAACATAAAAAGATGATTTATTTTATGGAAACTGAAAAGGGTGTCAAGAGGATGGAAGGATTGAGCCGGCTAAAGGATCCACAGTTGGAGAGAATAGAAATCTATGTTTTGCCAGCTTGAAACTTCTATGGATCCTATCTGTCACAAAAAATGTTCTTATTTCTTAATCAATGTTTATATTTTAATGCTTGAATTTTGAAATTTTCAAATATTTACTGCTCTAATATGGTAATAACTTAATAAGCATAATACCTGCTCTAATGTCTCTTCTTCCAATGGGAAAAAGACTTCTAGATCCATGTATAGCAAACTAACAAAGGTTTCGAGTACCACTTGTATAAAACGCCAAATACAGTACAATCATACAACTGAGGCTATCATGAAATTCCAATTTTGGCTATTTCTACATTTCCATAAAATATGCCTCTGAAATATGTTTTCTGCTCCAAATTGATCAAAATGGTACCATTAGATCAGGCATTCTTAGCCAAACTTCCTAACTGAGCTCTGCCATTACAGTTGGCAGAAGTAAATCAAGATAGTACAGAATTATTATGTATACTTAACTCTGAAATTTTGGAAACTGATGCTTCCAACCAATAAGAACTCTTATTTTCCCGAATGATTAACATGCTAATTGCTAAACAGTATCAAAACTCTATATCAGACAAAAGTACTATGATTATTTTCTATTACAAGGACGAAAAAAATGAACATGAGATGAAGTGAAAGAAGTTCTCTTCTTCCTATTCTTACACAGAAAAAGTACTTAGCGTTCATTAGTGCACATTCTTTCACCTACTCCTAGTTGGCAGAATATCACTGAATAGCAGAAACATACCGCCGGTGAGGTCACTGATGATAATGAAAAGAGCCGATCTTCAGGCTGAAACTTTCTAGACCGCTTCAACCTGCCATGAAGAAATTTGATTCAACAACGTCATACATGCATCAACTTGAAGCCAAACTATGATTAAATGTACTTCTCACTTAAAACACATAAGACATGCATGCTCATACATTACGTCATCTCTGACACTGACATATAAAAGCATAGAAACACATAATGCACTCCATGTAACTTCCCTGTCTTCTCAACATTTCAAACTATTCTATTTCATCATCTAAAATAAGCATGATTCAAATACTAATGCATCTAGCCAAGTCCCAACAAGGTATCACTTTGTGCAGAATTTCAGCAATCAATATAAGTAACCAAACTCATGAGTTAGTCTTCCAAAATCCAACAATCAATGAATCAATTTAAGATCCAAATAGATGCCTGATAAATATGGTTAAAGATCAAGTACATAACAGCTTTTGACAGAACATATGGATGCCATTTCTTTTCAGCATAAATTAAATGAACTCTGGAAACTACAAGAACTGAAAGAAGTGGTTGTTTGATAATCAGAAGTCAAGATAGGAAAAAAATTGTGTTTCAGAAAAATGAAAGAAAGAAATCCAGAGAGAAGAAATTCACACAGGGCAGTGTTCTTGGATGAAGATAGGAACCCTTCAAATCCTTTTAATACATTGCCACATTGTCCAGGATCCTGTAAATAACTTGTCTCCATATCATATACCTGTGCTAAGGGCAAAATGTCAGATACTACTTGCTAGAAATCATGCAGAATGTTTCTTTTCAGGTGCTTAACTTCACTTTTTTTTTTTCAAGTAGATCAATTTAAGAATGGGAATGGTATTTGAGCATCATAGATATTGTTGCACCAGAAGTGCGTCACTGCATGCCCAATTCAACAAGAAAACTCAGTTACATATAATTTAAAATCAAGCAGATGAAAGAGGACAAACTGACAAACACCAGTCAAGAGATGGTACATGAACATTAGATTACTGAGCAAGTAAAGTGCCCAAAACTTAGGTTAAATTATAATTTGCCCAATTATCCCATTGCACACGGAATTGAATCAACCAACCAAACAAACAGCACAAGTTTTCTAAAAATTAAATTAATAATTCATAAGAAAAATCAAATCTTTTTGGGAACCCCAAAAACAAATTGTAACCTTGTATTTTCAGAGTCAGTTTCCGCTCCTTTCGAAGAAACCAAAGGAACCCCAGAAGCCAAAGTAGAAATTTTACCTGCTTTTCAATGCTCCGAAGCTCCTCGTGAAGCTTTGCTCTCCTACTAAGCAGGGAAGCCAACATTGCTGACGGGTTCACATTACCCTTTTGCCCTAAAACAGGATATTGTGTTATAACCCCAAAAAATCAAATTAAATTCAATTCAGTCGGAGAGTAACGTAAAAAATGATTATTACCTTCCGATTCCATTTTCGAGAGAACGAAATACTTGAGGAATATGAAAAACGAAAACCCTAAATCCCCAATTTTCGCCTTCTAGGGTTCAGTCTGAGTTTGGCTCGATTTCTTCGAAACTCCCAGGGCTAACTAAAACCAATCATGTTACGCCAAGTCAGCCATTGGCATAAAAGTGTAAAAACGATGTCGTATGAATCGATGTAGATAAAGACGTGGCGATTCGATCCGAACGGGCATGAACGACCGGTGTGCGGTGAAGTTAAGATGACAACGAGAATGATTTTAGGTACATTAGATAATTTATTTTTATTTTTGTTGAATAAAATATTTAATCTTTATTTTTATATTTATTGAGTCTTCACCTATTTTTATTATTAGTAATTTAGTCAACTAAAATATAATTTATACGTTTTTAGAATTTAATATTAAGTATTTATTGAAGTTTTTTTAAATATAATATAAAAGAAATAAATATTATAAAAATTTTAAATTGAAATATTAACTTCCAATAAAATATAAAACATTAAAACAAACTTTTAACTTAATAATTTTATCATGAATTATTATCATATAGGCAAGGTCTATTATTAATCTCTCTACATGTTTGAAAACCTATAAGATTAGGAACATTAGACATGCTAGAAGAATGATTGCTTTCATATTCCTCTGAAGAGTTACTCCACTTGAATTTTTAATCTCTAACAATGAAATGGCTAATATTACTTTCTATACACGAAAAATAATACATAAAAAAATAATTAACATATTATTATAAAATGTAGATATAATATTTTATATATATATATATATATATATATATATATAACATTTTATTTATCTACATGTCTTATCATGACTACTACTTCACGGTCATTAAATATTACAAATAATTTTATAATAAATGCTAAAAATACACTTTTAAATATATTTTTAATTATTAATTAAGATTTATTAAAAAAAATAAAAATATAAGAAAAAATAATTTAAAAGTATGTAAATTTTATATTATTTTCATAATTTTTATTCAATAATTAAAAATATATTAAAAAGAGTATTATTAACATTTCTCTTTATGCAATAAATTTTAACATTTCAGTTTCACAACATTTTTTAGTTACTAATACATTAAATAAGATTATTTATCTTTTTTATGGTTGTTGGGCTAAATTTATATTTATTAAATTTTAATATTTTAATAAATATAAATATAATTAACATTTATTGATATCAAATGTTAAATTTAAATATTTATATTACTTTATAATTTTTATAAAATGTACAAATGTTCAATCCACTTGTTAATTTGAAATATTTTAATAAAAAAATTAACTATATAAAATTTTATATAAAAATAAAATTAATTAATACTTTATTTTATTATTTTATTTTAATATGTATTATATTTTTAAAATATAAATAAATAATAAATTTTAGATAATATATTTATAAATATTTAAATTGTGTAAAATTTAATATATATATATATATATAAGAATTTTATAAAAAAATTATTTAAAGATTTAAATGTCTAAATTTGGGGAAATTTATTTTAATATTATAATTTAAAAACAATTTATGACTTTATTGGTAATCTCAAATAATTTTCAACTCTAGGTTTTTTTGGGTCATGTGGCCATAAGTTTTGCCATTTCGTCTGGCAAATATATATATACATTTTATTATTGTTAATTGAATTTTGTCAAGAAAGTTGTGAAATTAATAAGAATGTGACACATGTAACGTCTAGAAGAATTTCGCATATTTGATGGCAAAAATATTTTTTTTAATTTATTTTTAAATAAATTTTGCACGAGATTGGTGAAACAAATGAGAGTCCGACATGTGTCAACATGTTGTTTAAATTTGCAATTTTAGTGGCAAAATTATTACAGAAATCGCTATCCAACCTGCGAAATTTATTGGCTACAATTACTAAAATATTTGCAAATTATATGGAGAAATTTGAACATTATATATAACCCACCCTTCTCTCATTTTTATCAAAGAAGAGCAAATTAGAAGAAAATCAGGTATGTTTAATTTAATAATTTTATTATTCAATTTTTAATATATAAATTTAGTTATTTTTAATTAAATAAATTGTTAAATTAATTAAGGAGTATTGTTTATTTTATTTATGTTAATTATTCTAAAATTTAAATATTAAATAAAGTTTATTTGTAAAAATGCGGGATGAGTGAAATTGTTATTATTATATATTGGAATGGTAGAATCTATGAAGGAAATGAAGGAGTAAGTTTTGAAGGAAATAAAGTAATTCAGATAAAACAAGAAATAAGTTATGAAACATTGAAAAGAAAAATTCATCTGAAACTTAATCTTAACTATAATTAAGTTATTTCTAAATTTATTTTTTAATTTTTCATTAATAAAAATATTAGACAGTATACAGCTTTAGATATATGTGATGATAAAGATATTGATTGCATGATAAGTGTATTTCAAAAATAATCTGGTAGAAATATTATTCAGTTATATGTAGATATTGCTGTTGGTGGAAGTTCATCAGTGCCTTTACAGGTGATAAATTTAAAGTTATCACTTTCACAGCAAAATGATAGGACTCTTGTGAGTCGTGATTATAATAAAGATAAAATTATTTACGTTATAATATCTTTTAAGTAATATATGTAATTGACTAAATTAAAACTGATAAATTTGTTGCAATAAAGGAGTTAGGAATGATGTTGATGAAGATAATGAACACTCAGATTATGAGAGTTACACTGATAGAGATGATGAAGCAGAAATTTTGTTAGACAGTTATACAACCAATTGAAAATGTAGGAGGTAATGTGGAATAATTATAAAAATTTTGTTTTTTGTAGTTATTTATTTATATATTCACGCTAAATATAATGCAAAAGATATTGTAATTCTTTTTTGGAATGTTACTCCAAAGTATAAGTATATTAATTGGGAATATCCTAATCAAGAAGTGAATGAAGAACATCTTTAAGAAGTCAATTCATGGGTTGAAGGAGATCTTTTATTTGTTAGCCTATTATTTGACAGTAAAGAAGATGTGAAAAATGCATTAAAACATTACGCAATAAAGATTCATCAAAGTTATTTTGTGGCTGAGTTTAAACTAATATGTTTGTATTTTAAATGCTTAAACCATACCTCTGGTTGTCTATGGAGAGTGAGGGCTTCATTGTTGAAGAATTCAAACAAGTGAAAAATTATTAGGTGGGGTGATTCACATACATGTGTCAATATGAGAATTTTTTAAGATCATTAAAAATTAAATTCTAATTTAATTTGTTCATATATTCTTGGTAGGACAAATATTTTTTATTTTTTTATTTTTACAATGACATTCTTATTAACTTGAGAAAATTTATTTTATGTAGGAATGGTGAACAAAGAATCGTCCGTACATATTTCATTAATACAAGAGCGAATATGTGTTCAGTTTGGATACAAAATTTCATATAAAAAAAGCTTGGAAGACAAAGCAAAAAGTCATTGTTAAAGTATTTGGTGATTGGAATGAATCATACGCTACCTTGCCTCGTTAGTTAGAATACATGCAATTACATTCTCTTGGATCTGTTTATAAAATTGAAACAAAAGAGTATGTGGTTAGTCATCAAGTGAATAACAGGTGTAGAGTATTTGAACGGTTATTCTGGTCATTCCAACAATGTCACGAGGCTTTTAAATTCTACAAACCTATATTACAAGTGGATAGGACGTTCTTATATAGTAAGTATTGTTATATATTGCTCATTGCAACAACTCAAGATGGAAACAATTGTGTCTTTCCAATAGCTTTTGCAATTGTTGATGGAGAAACCTTGTCAGCATGAGAATGATTTTTGACATTGATTTGTTTGCATGTTACCGATAGATCAGGAATTTGTTTGATATCAGTTAGACATTGAAGTATAAAAGGGACTGTGTCAAATCCACACATTGGGTGGCAACCTCCAAATACGTATCATGTATATTGCATTCATCATATTGTCAGCAACTTTAGTCACCAGTTTAAAAATATAGCATTGAAGAAAGAGTTCATCAAATTGGGTATGTATTGTTTATCTAGATTATTGTTAAAGTATTAGATAGCCATTGAATCTGTTAATACATCTTTTAATGTTTTGAATGTTGTATATGTAGGTTATACACCATCAAAGGTCATATTTCAGCACAAGTTTACTAGATTTTGCAATGAATCTGAAGATATACAAAGGTGAATTGATTGCATATCAAAAGAGAAATGAGCATTATCTTATGATGACGAAGGACGACGTTATTGACACATGATTACAAATCTTTCAAAATCAGTAAATAAGGTGTTGAAAAGTGCTAGAAACCTGCCTATAAATGCACTAGTTAAAGCTACCTATGGGCGATTGGTTGAATATTTTGTGAAGCATGGAGAAGAGGCCATCTCTGACCTTCACAATGGAAGCATGTTCTGTCATAAAGTGATATTACAAATTCAAAAAAATCAACAAGAAGTTTCATCACACCAAGTTCGTTGGTATGATATACAGAGAAAAAGTTTTGAGGTTGAAGAAGCTTTTAATCCAATAACACAAAGGGGTAGACACAAATGGACAATTATATTGGATAGGAGATTCTGTGAATGTGGACGATTTTAAGCTTATCAATTTTCTTGTTCACATGTGATAGCGGTCTGTATAGTTGTCAGTATCAATTTGTGGCAATATGTGGACCCAATTTATTCAATGCAATATGTTGTAAATGCATACTCCCTATAGTGGTTTCCTCTTGGAAATGAATGCAACATCCTTACAAATAATGAATGGAAGTTAGTACCTGATGTTGACAAAGTAAGAGGTAATGGCCAACCAAAGTCAACTCGTATTAGGAATGAAATGGACTAGGTTGAGTCATAAACTAGACAAAGGTGTTCCAAATGTAACGAAGTAGGTCATAATCAACGTCATTGTCCTCAACAAAACAATATTGGTTAACCATATCATATAAGTTAGTGTTTATATATTTTTTTTGTTAAATACATAATTTATGTATTTGTTAAATGAGATTATTATTTATCCTAATTGTCATTAATTATTATAATGAAAGCATAAATGCTATATCAAGTAAAGGCTAAGACTAATTAATAAGTCGGGGCGGCATATAGGCCACGAAAGCATAATATGTGATCTAAAATAATACTACATATAAACATGTCATTGCTGCCCCCTATGTGCCTGATGATCATGATCCTCTAGAGTCAAGATGCATTGCCTCTGTCTATCTCAAGCTCCTTGATAAGGGTTCCAACGAACCTCTCCTAAATCAGCAACCGTACCAAACTCGGTATTAAGATCAATACCTGATTCTATAGACTTGGAGTCAAAAGGGAATGGTGCTCATGAGGAGGTGTCCAAAAGAAATTAGGTCGTGAGCTGTAATCTTCTGATCCTGTAAATGGTGAAGATGGGGGTTGTGATGGATGATGGATACCCTGTGCTGAATGGAAACAGGTTGGGACAATAATAAAATGAGATGGCTGAAAAGGGAACTGTGATGGTACAGGAAAGATACCATCAAGTCGCTCTGGCATAGCCGGGATAGCCCACTCTACTGCCTGCACTTATCTTCGTCAACGTGCCAAACCTCTTCCTTCTCTTCATTAATGCGGCTGATCTATGTGTAAGTCTAGGTCGATGAGATTACCACTTTGTCTGGAGGATATGAAGATGAAACAAGCTCTAATACGCGATCTTGCTCCTTCTTCAGTGATAGGAGAGTCTCAGGCAAGTCCTTTAATTCATTAAAAGTAAAGCAATCCTATCCATCAGTGCTTAAGTAATGCAATCTCTCCATCACATCACCTAAAAAATATAAAAATGTAACCATTACGGTAATTTTGTATATAAAAAAATATTAATAGTGAACAAAGTATATAATACTCTATCAACATACTGACAAAGTTGATAAAGCTGCATCCCTGGTCATCCAACGATGAGTGTGACTAACATGCCATCGCATGTACTTTGAATTTGAGCTCAGTAAACCATACTGAGGCTTATTAGTCATCACCCAAAGTCATCTACTCTCCCAAATTTCTAATATAACACTGAACTTGGCTGACCAATCTTCTCCAATCTTTCCTCTAAGGGTAAGGTCATGTAGTTGGTCAGGCTGGTAAGGAGCCTTTGGTATGTGCTGAACCATACTAAACGAACGCATTACTCTATCAGGTTGATGCCACTCACATACCTGAAAACATATAAGTAGCACCACTGCCCTCTATAAGTCCATACTGTCTCTACAAATAGGTGATAATATATTGATGAGTTCCATATTGTATGACACCCACACAATCTGTATGATGACATAAAAATATGATTAATAAAAAAATCAAAATTAATTAGTGTAATATACGCTATTTAATACATGTTATTTAAATAAGTAACTCAGTATAAAAGTTGGCTATAATACCTCATCACGTGCTAAACGATAAAAAATATATCTGTAGTATTGGACATTTTTCTTTCCCTTTCTTATACCGTGGGATAACCATCTGTAAGTAATTTTGACCATAAAAACATGAAGTCAAACAAATAACATTATAAAAGTAATTTTGACCACAAATGCGTAGAAAAACAATAATAATAACAACTTACTTAACACTGTAGGGAAGATAGAGACGTGTATAGGAAGGATTGGTAGGTGCTATCTAGGGAAATCTATCCCATGCCCATGCCACAATCAATGCAGCAAGTCCTCCAATAGCAACACGATCAATATTGGTGGTCATGCATAGCTCTCGATACAAATAACCTAAAATTGCAGAACTCTAACTATATTGACCGGTCAACTTAAAATTTTCAATCAAAGGCAAGTACCTCACAGATACCCTACTACTAGAGTGATCAGGAAGCATGAACCCTCCAATAAGTCTCAATATATATGTCCTAGCAAATCGAGTAATCTGCAGTGGAGTCTAATTATGCATGGCATTATGAGTGAAGTGCTCGTCCAACCATCTCATCTTCAAGAAACTCCCTATAAAAGCATCTGATCTTGGTCTGATACCTAGGCTGTCTTCAACAATCTATGCCCAGTCACCTCCAGTGGGTGTTATAACAGGTCTCTCATCTATGTGTAATCCTAAGAGAATAGCAACATCCTGAAGGTTAATAGTACACTCTCCAGGGGCATGTGGAAGGTGTGCATCTCGAGCCTCCACCTCTTTACTAATGCAGTAATCAATCCCACATCTACGGAAAGTTGAGACAAGTTAGTCACTCCAATAAAACCTGCTAACTCTGGATGTGGAATAATTTTTTTTGGAACACTCTCTAATTCACCAGGAATATTTTGGTCTTTCTGACTTTCAATATCGGGTGATCACGTCCATCTCAAATATGTTCAGAAATATGAATACTCTGAAACCAAAGAAGTGATGAATCTTCTTGCCCAGGATTAACATCCCTACTTTGCCATGAAGATGATGTCATCTATGCAACAACAAAAAATATTAGTAAGATAATTTCATTTAATAATAATAATAATAATAATAATGTATATTTTACTAACATATTAATAATACATATTTTATAATAGTTAAACAAATTTACTAACAAATCATTATCATATTGTAATGACATAAATATATATTCATTGTAATATATTATAAATGCAAAAATCAGGTATAATTTCATCAATTAAATCATAACTATACTTTTTTTTACAAAATGAATAACTAAATTACTAACTTATATTCTATACAAATTATAATTTATGTAGTATCAATTTTATTTTAAATAAATAAATTCTTATTTATATTTTCATATATATTACTAAAGATATATAAATTTTTAATTATTGTAATTTTTTTCATATTAAAATGTATTTAATAAAATTTATATAAATAATGTTACGTTATTTAAATACAAAACTCTAATTACCAACATAAAATAAAATAAAATATTTTTTTTCATATTTCTAATTTAAATCTACATAAATTACATATAGTTTATAATTATATAAATAATGTTACATTTTTTTAAGTAAAAAATATAATTATTTACATAGAAATTTTATACATATATATAATTCATACAAATTATGATTATATCTTAATTATTTTACATTATTACTGCATTTCAAGATTTATAATTTTAAAATTTTGTGTAAAAATTATTTATTACAATAAAACTAAGTATAAATTATTTTATTTAACTAATTTTCTATTATTCTATATTTTTACAAATATATATAACAATTTATGCAAACAAATTTTATAAATTTTAATTTAACCTATCTTTTTAACAATTAATTATAATTTTACATTTTAATCAACTATATCACAATTTATTTTTTCTAAAAACATATTAATCTATATACAAATAAATGAAAAAATATTTAAAATTTAAATTCTTTTTTACTAACCTTAATAAACCTTCAGCTAAATTATTTTCTCACTCACCTCCACTGAATCATCTGCATACAATTAAAAAATATTAAAATATTAATTGTTGCCATTTATCAGATTATTCAATTAACAAATCAAATTAAAAAATATAAAAATATGCATATTACATGTCTATACCTCTTAAACTCGTAAAAATTTTGACCCTTCACAATGCAAATCAAAACAGAATTTTAGACAAATTTTAGAAAGAATAACCATGTACGATGGAAGAACGAAGAAGGAGAAATGAAAATGGAAAGAGAGGAGAAGAGGAAGAAAGTTGGACAAGGTTACTGTTTGGCTGGCCACGTGTCAAAATTTGAATAATTTTGCTAACGATAGAGCGAAATACACTTTTGCCAATAGCAGCGCGAATCATTTGGGATGTTGCCACATATATCAAAATCTTTCCAGCCGTCTATTTTGAATTCATTTTTATGAATTATTTTTAATTTTATTGACTTTCGTGATTCTAATGACAAAACAAGGGTTGGTTATAGTCATATGTTACTATCCAATTAATTGTGCTTTGATTGCGGCAAAACTTGGTGATTATTTTGCCAATCAAGTTGCAAAATTACTCTTTATTTAACACATTGTGTTATCTTATTTATTTCATACATTTTATGGCAAAATAAATAAATAAAATTTAAAAATAAATTACTTTCACCAATTGTTATGGCGAAAAATGAGTCCACATAGCACAAAAATCTCAAAAAAATAAAATAATATGAAATTATTTACACACTAATAAATTATTTTTTAAATTACAATATTAAAATAAATTTGTCCTAAATTTGACAAAAAGGGAGGCAGCTTTAAAAAGCTTTAAAATTTATGATCATATCCTTGACAATAATAATAAAAAATCTACCTCTGTTCTTTTGTTTCCAAAGCCAAAGAAGAAAAAATGGTCTAAAGTCAAACCCTTTTCCCTGTCAATTGTTGAAGCTTCTATTTCAATTGATTGAAGTTGGCGACAGTTTCAAAGAAGGATGAGGAATATATATAACAACTAGTTACAATGGATGAAGGGTTTGCAGAATATAATTTGATATTCTTAGTTAATATCTCGAATACAATTGATACCTACACTCATTAAATTTTTTAATTTTTTAAATATTTTTCTTAAAAAGTAAAAGCACACTCAGTAATGGGTTACAATAACCTCTGGTATGTGATATTTAAAAAAAAAAAACTATAATACTTTATACAATTGTCAAAAATATATATATCATGATTTATTTTATTAAATAATTTTTTAAGATATGTCTAATGGCATGCAATAAAAATTTAATGAATTTTATTAAAAATAATCGACTATTACAAAATTTAAGGCATCAATAAAATTAAAAACTATAATTTTTAATAAAAAATATTATTTTTTATTTTTTAACGTATATCCTTAAAAACATCTTAGATAGACGAATAAAAAAATTACACATTGAAAATTAAGAATATTTTTGCATAAAATGAAACAGAAATATTTTTGTAAGAATACCATGTGTCTAATCGTTTTCATCCATGGTGTTCCAGTTTAGATTTTTGAAGTTTTAAGTGACACTGATCAACATATCACACGCGAAAGTCCTTATCTTTTCTCTCCAAATTCAGATTCTCTTAATGGATTTCATGGTATCTACTCTATCATCTTTCGGGTTCTTCTTCTTTTGTTTGTTTTGGTTTCTAACTTCGTTTTTTGTTTTGCAAAACTAGGAGAAGCTTAAAATTTGGAAGAGAAAAACAGAGAAAGAAGGTGAAGGTCCACCCCTGTTATGGTTCGAAACCTCTGTCTCTGTTTGTCGCCGCTTCCAGTTTGAACCCAATTCCCAACTTTCCGTATCTCTCTCTCTCTCTCTCTCTATCTCTGTTTTTTTGGTGAATTATCTTTCCAAAATACTCAAATAAGCAATATTTTAATCTATCTTGTTATTGGGTGGGAGAGATAAATTGGTTCCAAGATTGAGAAGATTGAAACTTTCTCAAAGTCTCTGATATTTCTTTTTTAAATTAAGGAGCTAAAGCGTGGGTGTTACTTGCTTAAGAAATTGATAAACAATCTAATTATCTTTAATAACGCAATTTTAACTAATTTTTTAATAATTAATTACATACTTTTTTACTGGTATTTAATTAAAAGTATATAGATAATGAGGCTTACAACCGTAACTAACGAGGCTTAACTTGTCCAAGTCTTGGTTGGTTTTCTCTGTAGGTAAAGCTAGTTGGTGATTCCAGACCATTATACCACAAGATAGTTGAGTCTTTCCTCAATAAATTTTTCCCCTCAGGATATCCATATAGGTTGTTTGGTCTTTTCTTGAATATGTTATATGCCATAGTTATCTATTTGAGAACCTAGTGTGAATTTTAGTGTTTGTTTTACAGTGTGAATGAAGGCTACCTCAGATACACACAGTTTCGAGCACTGCAACACATTGCCAGTGCGGCGCTATCTGTGCTATCAACTCAGGTCTTCTTCTAGTAACCTGAAAATCTCAGCAAGTCATGTAACTGCTTTCCTACCCACTAACACTAAACTGTTTTTCAAAATCTTTATTTATTCCTTTCATGTTATAGAAACTTGGTGCATTTTGGTTTTGATTGTTTTCAGGGCTCATTTGATGCATGAAATTGAAATTGTAGTTCAAAATTGTAATTTTAATTCCAATTCTGTTATAATTGAATATGGTTTAGAATCACAATTTCTATGTTTTGATTCTTCAAAGAATTAGAATGTACAATTATAATTTTATATTCTAATCTTTGCAGTGTGTAGACAATTAGAGTCCTAAGTTGTTAATAAAATAACAGAATAATAGAAGTGACCACTTGGTTATTATACAGATAGAGCTGGTTATGGAGGGTGAGGGGGTTCAATTTTTACAGAAAGAGAAAGGGTAGAGGTCAGGTCTCTTGAATATTCACCTGGAGAGAGTTATACTTCTGTATCGTACAGTGTTTTTGGTCTCTGCACACTCAGTATCACGCTGATACCAATTTAAACATGGATTGTCTACCAGTAATGATTGCATGTTTACTTCATTTTCTGGTCCAGTTCTGTTAGTGTTGTTGGTCTGTATGCTTATACTTCTGCAGTCACTGCTATTTGCGGCAGGCTTGCGGCCTACTCCTGCACAAGCAACAGCTGTTAGTTGGGTAATTTAATACTACTTTGCAATTTGCAATTTCTCAAACTAGTTATGCTGGCATGCATTTAATACATAATTTGTTTCTCTTGCTGATATTCAGATTTTAAAGGATGGTATGGAACATGTAGGGAAGCTAATATGTAGTAATTTGGGTGCAAGAATGGATTCAGAGCCTAAACGTTGGAGAATTTTAGGTTTGCATTTAAGCTAAAACTTTTCATTTTTCCCCCTATATTAGCCTTATTTGTTACATTCTATGGTGTATGACTGTGATCAACCTTCCATCTTGCAGCTGATGTGCTCTATGATTTAGGCACTGGTTTGGAAGTGTTTTCTCCCTTATGCCCACAGCTCTTTCTTCAAATGGCAGGCCTAGGAAATTTTGCCAAGGTGTAATTTTTTATTGTTTTTAAAATTAATTTTACACGGTAGCTTCTGTTGTCATAGAAAGTTAATATAATGCTAATTGTTCATTTTCATTGTGCCTATGTATGTCATGATAGAGAACTTTTCTTATTCTTGTGAAAGAATATGTTCCTTAAACTATTCCATTTTTGGTATAAATTCCATTATTTTGGAGTCAACAGGGAATGGCAGTTGTGGCAGCAAGAGCTACAAGATTACCTATATATTCTTCATTTGCTAAAGAAGGAAATCTAAGTGATCTATTTGCCAAAGGGGAGGCTATTTCAACTCTCTTTAATGTTGTTGGGATTGGAGTTGGAATTCAATTAGCGTCTACTATATGTACATCAATGCAAGGAAAGGTATACACCCAAACTTTGAGCAACATACTGTCAAAAATTATGTTCCGGTGACCAGATTATATATAAAAATTCCCGCACAAGGGCTTAGGCATGCATATTGGTTATTTCCAGTTAGAAGCATTATCAAAAACATGAAATTGAAGTTAGAAGCATTATTCAAAAACATGAAATCAAGTAGTCTTTTTGCTATTTTATCTTCTTGGGACATAAATATGCATTGTATTTATGAATCCAAACTGATGAATTACGAAACATTTCATGTTAGTTGATTGTGGGGCCGCTACTTTCTATTATACACATATACTGCGTTTCTGAAGAAATGAGAGCAACTCCTATCAATACCTTAAATCCACAAAGAACTGCAATGATTGTGGCTGATTTTCTCAAGGTGTGATCTCAACTATTTTTGTAAATGAATTCTCTCTTGGTTTCCTTTCTGTATTTGAAAAACTGAAATGCTGTTTGACTGTTAATTGAGTTCAAACCAGACAGGAAATGTATCAAGTCCTGCTGATCTAAGATATCAAGAAGATTTGCTATTTCCCCAGCGACTCGTAAAAGATGCTGGAAATGTAAGAGTGGGTAGGGCTTTGCACAAGGTTATTAAGCCTTCAAGGTTTGTTGAACTAAAACAAGTACTCCCCGGGGAGAAGTTTCTTTTAAATGGTGAAAATGGATGCATTGACATGGTATTGGAGCATGATGCTATTGGTGAAGATGCTTTGAAAGGGTGGTTAGTTGCTGCATATGCTGTACAAATTAAAAAGTCCTCTCCTGAGATCAGTACCAGTGCACTGGTAAAGGCCTATGAGAAAATGAATGAGGTCTTTCCTGTGTTTTTAAAAGAATTACAGAGCAAAGGGTGGCATACAGATCGTTTTCTGGATGGAACTGGGAGCCGCTTTGCGTTGTAGTGTTCAAACTAATCATATATTGGCTCTAGTAGGCCTTTATTGATTCTGAGAGATAGGTGCATTACTTATGATGGTTCAGATTACTTAAGTTAAATCTTAATATAGCAGTTTGTATTTAATTGCATTGCTGTGGGGCGTGTCACACCCTTTGGCTTGGATGTAATATAGGTCTTTCCATAAATGTGCAGAACAAAATGATGTATATGTTTTGATGATTGACAGAATTTGATAAATAATACCCTTGACATACTTTGTGCCTTGTGGGGGGTGTTTGACTGATGAGATCGCGAGCATGCAGAGAAACAAAGTGAAGTCAGCTTAAAAAACATTTAAAAATATGATTTTGTCATCAAATTATTTAGGATTGAATTTAAGTAACTAAAAGGGAAGATTTTTCTTGGAAAAGAAGTTATATTTTGTGTTTGTATTTTCAACGGCTCAAAAGATTGATAACAAAATCGGAAAAATAAAATCAACTAAATAATTTTTAAAAATAAGAGTGAAGTGGCAAAAAAAAAAAAAAAAAAACTTGTAGAAAAAGATGTCTGTTTATATTAGTTTAAGTGAAAAAAGTTTTGAGTAACTTCCTGTAGTTTTTTCTTTACTTGCAACTAGAGAAAAAGTATTCACAGTGATTCAAAATGGTTATTTTATGTTCAGTATACAATACTAAGTTCAGTAGACAACACTATGTAATGGAGATCAAACATTGCCTCGTAAACACTTAACATCACTTAATTAAACTTAGGGAAAAATCCACCCACAAAAAAATAGAACAAATTAAAGACAAAACTTCGAGAGTCTTATTTTATTAAGGCAAATCATCAAAGGTACAAAAACAGCACGCCCATTATTTGGGAAACTCTGCATTACATCGCCACTCATACATATATCATACATATATGTATATATATATAATATTAAAATAGTTAAGGAGGCTCGGATGGCATACAAGGCCATACATACTTATTACTACTACGGTGCCGGAATACAAAATTTATTATTATATATATTATTATAAGATAGCCACCTTAATTTATACGATAATGATTATTTATGCGATGTGAACAAAGTTGCGATTATGCTGAGAAGGTGGGTTGACCAAAGGGCCCCAGTTTCCATTGTACTTGAGTTCGCTGACTTGACTTTGACGGAGGCCAAAAGAATTGGCAACAACCTCAGCGGGTAATGCCCTTAACGCCTCCTTGAAGTGGGTTGTGACAGCATTGTCGTTTGTTTTGAATACTACGAACTCAAACCCTTCATCACTTGCTTCTTCCGCCACCACAAAGTTCTGTGGCACCACCAGCAACTGTCCCCTCTTTAGCTCGCCGTTGAACACTGAGTTTCCTTGGCAATTCACCACTCTCACATTTCCTCTCCCTCTTGTCACGTACATCACACCGTTCGCATTGAGGGTCCAATGTGGTGCATATATACCATTCTGTATGCACATGTAAGTATATACATTACTCTCATGCATGTTAAATATATGTTTTTTCAAAATTTTGTTTTTAATAATTAGACCCTATTTCATTTTTTAATTGAAACTAAAACATTCCTAAAAATATAGAGAAACACATTTAAATCAATTATTTATAGTTAAAATATCATTTAACTTATATGGACTTGTATCAATGAAATGGGACTCTAATACTAATTGAATGCAGATGTGAAAAATATTTATATAGAGTGCATGTGTATGTTTTGTAGTTAACATAAGTATTAGGTACCTTGTAGAGGACAACATATTGGGCGCTGAGTCCAAAGAAGCGAAGGGAAGGAAGTGTGAGGCTGTTGATAGTGCTAATGCGACCAGCTTTAGGGTTATAGAAGTCAGCGCGTGAAGGGCTTGCAATGTTCTCATGAAGCTTCAATGTGCACCATGTTTCGTCTATCCCATTTCCATGTCCCTTTCCTTTGGGTTTTAAGTCCCATTCTTCTTTTTCTACTTCTTCTACTTCCTCTTGTGTTTCTCCTTCTTCTTGTTTGGGATGTGTTTGCCTCTTCCTCCATTCTCTTGTCTTGTGATGTCCTGGCTCTTCTTCTTCCTCTATCTCCTCTTCCTCCTCCTCATGTTTACTCTCCTTGTGTTCTTGCTCCTTCTGTCCTTGCTTTTCTTTCTCTTTTTTCTCTTCTTTTTTCTCTTTTCTGCCTCGCTGTTGGTGTTTCTGTTTTTTCTCTTGTTGTTGTTTCTGTTCTTCTTCTTCCCCTTCTTCTCCTTCCTCCTCTTCTTCCTCCTCCTCTTCTCCCTCCTGTTGTTGCTGCCATTTGGGACTGATAATGCTGAGGCCTTCCTTAACTTTGACTATTTGCTTGATTTCGTCAGTGGGAGATTGAAGTTGTTCTGCTGTATCCTCGTCAGTGTTGAGTGCTTGTGCTATTAAGTGTTTGCTGAAGCCACTCAGTATGCTGCCACCTTCTTCTTCTTCTTCCTCTTGCTGTTTCCCTTGCCTCTGATACTGTTGTTTTAGGGTCTCTGGGTGCTCTATCTCTGGCTTCCCAGCAATGTAAAATACCTATACAAATCCATATTTATGGTTGGTAGAAGATTAATGTTATTCTTACATCTTTAAATGAAAATAATAATAATAATAATAATAAAAGGTGTAAAACAAGATTTTTTTTTTTATAAAAAAAAAAGTAAAAAAAAGTGTAAGATATGATTATTTTTTAATGAAATATTATTAATTGTTATATTATGACTAGATTTTTCTTTACTTGTCAAATGATTCAACACTTTAATAAATTCTAAAGGGAACATGAGATAAATGATTTCAATCAAACATGCTTGTAATATTTAAGTGAGCATTTTTCTATACCTCAAAAAGTGGGAGGCAGTGTGAATATATAGACAAAATGAGAATAATATTTTCTTTCCCTAAAAGAAATGAGAAGTGATTAGTAAATTAAAGTAGACATACTCTGGGTGATTGATCAAGCTGGTTTTGTGAGTTGGAGGTGTCAAGAAGACTAATGGCAACAAGTGGTTCATCGCCATAGTTATAGGTCCAGTAAGGAACTCCAGTAGGAATCAACACTATGTCACCTTCCTTGAAATGACGGATCTTCTGGTGGCTATCCTGTGGTTGTTGTGAATGTGGACTTCCTTTAGATTCTGCTTGCGGCTCCTCAAATGTCTCACCACATCCAGGAAATGCAAATCCCACTGCTCCCTTCCCTGTATTATACACCAATGTGTATCACAAATCAATCGCATCTTAAAAAAAACAAAGTTTTATTAGTTTGACAAATATTTTAATAAAAATATATCTATTACATAAAATATATAGGTGATGTGACGAAAAGAGATATATAAGTTATTGTATAATCAAAATATCTCTATTTTTAATTAGCTGTTGATAATAGAATTGATCTATTAATACGAAATTGTATAGTATCATATTTTAATATAATAAGATATTATATATCCAAATCTTATACAAGTGAATTCATGATGAATAAGTTATACCATACGAAGAGAAAGGAAATATTGTATAAATGAAGTGAAATGATTACCCTGAATGATCATCATCATCTGGGGATAAGGCGAGTAAGACGCCAAGTGAAGGCCATTGGGAAAGAGAATGCGTTTGGCAAAAGAAACACCAACGCAACGTAGCTCAGGATGTTTGGAGTTCCAAGTCTCAATCACTCCACCCTCAGTCTCAACGCGATTATCAGGTTTCAATGCATTGATATTATCCAGCTGGCACTCGTTGAACCTCTCAAAGCTACCTAAGCAAGAACTAGCCAAGAGTAGCAAGCAAAGTGAAAGAGAGAGGATAATGAGCTTAGCCATATTGAAGATAATATTACACTGAGGGAACACAAACACCACTGAAAGACTTGGTGAAGTGAAGAACCTAAGGCGTGACTATTTATAGCAATGAGAGAAGGATGATAGAAGGACACGTCATTGAAGTCGAGTTGCTAAATTGATGACATTCTTCAGCATGCATGGCTATCAATTCTTGATTTCTTACACCTCATAAGCTTTCAGACTGGCTTCATGCTTCCAATAATGATCCAAACAATTATATGAAATTGTTCTTATACATGTTGTTACTTCATATTTGGAATTAACCTTAGTTAATATTAATGAACCAGCTCAAAATATGAGGCACTCAGGAGAGTCCCTCTCCCACCATATTCTCCGCATACCCTATCTTTATCTTATTGTAATTATAGTGTGGTCTTGACTTGAAAATTCATTTTAATTTCTAACTATACTGTTGTTTATAACTACATAAGTAGGAGATATTATATCAAAGGCATCTCCTCTTCTTTCTCCCACATTTATATGCAATAAGGATACTATTATTTTATGGCGAGGTTAGTGGATTTTTTTTAATTACACTTATTTAATAATGATTGAGTCAATGATGTTCAGCCTGTTTACATACTTTGTTAACAGAATTAAGGTTTCATTTGATAAATTTTTTCTTTTTATAAAATAAATTAATGTGCAATATTGTACGACATAAAAAAAATTATATAAATAATCTTTAATAAAAGTTATAGAATTTAATGTAATTTAATGTATTAATATTATTAGATATTATAATTTTTAATAAAAATTTATTTTATGTGTTCTTATGTACAAATTAAAAAATTATTTATAAAATATATATAGATAAGTGTAATTCATGCGCTTAATTTAAATATTTTATTTATTTATTCCCTTAAAGTATGTCTGCATGCACATTTTATTTAGTGGCTACAAATAATTGTTTGGAGGATTTAATTCTTTTAAAAGGAAGATACGAGTAATTTGAATTTAAATTTTTATTTTCACTCTTTTACTTTAAGCACTTATTGATTTTAGAAGAGCAAAATTTGTTTTGTGATGCATGTTTATGCTTAGCTAGCAAGGCTAGAAAATGACCGATGAAGAAAGGTCACTAAGGCCGAGAGACACGTCAGAGAAGATGGATTACACGTATGCAATATAGTCAGTCTTCAGTGACCAAATGCATGGCTATGGCATCGTAGTAACCTACACGTAGCTCACTTATTTTATTAGGTTAGTGTGGATTGAGCTATGTCCAAGAAATGAAGAAGCATCGATTGTGTGCATTTATTATATTTCGGTGGATCCAGTTACCTATTTTTGTTTCGATTCAGGATCTATATGCATGAGTTTATACAACATAATCATCTTCCTTGTAATATGTTCAGTTTATTAATTATTTGTACCTGATATTTAAGGTTTCTGAGCTTTCTTACAATAGGGAGTTGTTCTATAAAATCATCAATGTGTTATCATTGATAAAACAATTTCTTCATTTAAAATTTTAATACATTGTGAGCATTAATACTAATATAAGTAAGCATTTTTTATTTTATCAAACATATAAAGAGATTAATTTTTGCAACATTTTTTTTAAGTTATATTATTTTTTTATTCTTTTAAATTTTAATTTTTAAAGTATGTTTAATATGTTTTTAGAAATTTAATTTTAAAATAATTTACAAATAAATTTTAGAATTTAATTTTTGAAATGAATTTAATATACTGTAAAGAAAATGTTAAAAATAACAAAAAAAATACTACAAATAACCAAAAAGAATGGTAAAAATAGTAATTATTAAAAAAATAAAAACATGTATTTTTTGTCAACAAGGTGTGGCCCATTTCGGTAAAAAAAAAAAATGAGAATATATATATGTCAGCATCCCAACTCATCAAATTTGATGATGAAAAAAGAAGAAAAAAAGGTGGAATCAAAATCAATTTTCGGCCTGTTCCACTCAGAACAATTCTTGCATTTAATTACATTTGTCTTCTTTCCCTTAATTTAAATTATGTATGATTTTGTTCATCAAATGTTTTTAATTAAGTGTTAAGCAAGTTTTTATATATGGCAATAGTAAAGATAAAATAAGAGTCGTGGAACGACACAAACTTGTAAGATAATTGTAGGTTTTAATATCTTATTTAAAGTTAAAGAAAAGAACTATACACATTATATATGAACATCTTGATATTTATAAATTGATTAAAATTAAACAGTGTAAATAAAATTAAAAAAATAACAAGAGAGACTATTAAGATTGAATTTTATCTATTCAGCTCAATTGATCTCTAATGTCATATAAATATGATTCTATTAATCAATCTTATTGAATTCTCTTAAGCTACTCTAAATCAATTCCTTACATTTAGAGTTACTAAAGATTATAATCTAACAACGATTCCTCAATTTATTAAATTATGATCCTTGCATTAAGTTCAAGAACTTAACCAACTAATAACTCCAAATCATTGCTAGCATTTAAAGCTATTAGGTGATATGATTCAGATTGGACTTAGAAAATATTTTTCAATTGAAATCAAAGTTAAAAATTAAAAGACGAGTGATCAGTTCATCTAAAACATTAGAGCAGAATCACAATCACTAACATTGAATAATAAATATTATAAATATAATTAAAAAAGGAATACAAGAGAGTTTGACAGATTACCTTCAATTTCAACCAAAAAAGTGATTTAACTACTCATGATAATGAGTGTCAATCCCAAAATACAAGAGAGAATGGAGTAAAAGAAGATGAAATGATGAATCTTCCCATTCCCAAGTTAAATGCCCAGTTCCATGATCCTTTTTTTTTTTTTATTTCTCTGTTCGTTGCCTCCGTTCTCTCTCTATTTTCTATTTATACTATCAGGAGAGAGAGTGAACCGGTCAGTGCTTGAGAAATGGTTAAGTGGTTTAGAGAATTCACCATGATTAAGAAATCTAAACCGCTAGGCACCCAGAGAAACATTGGGTGTTTTGAAGGTCGAGACCTTCATCCTCTCTGGAACTAATCCACTCAGCGCCTATACAAACAATTAAGCGGTTAAGACATGCTTCCAAACCTTACTCTCTGTCTCCAATCTGCTGAGCGCTTCCCCAAAGTCTGAACGGTTGAGAGACGTCAAATCTTTCAAAAACTTTCTAAGTCCTACAAGGTCAAAATAAAAGAAAATTGGTTCTAAAAGCTAACAACTCTCAACAAAATACAGTAATTACATATTCTTTTGATTTTCTTAAAGATAAAAGTGTTAAAAACAAAATTTTCATGTAAATCAAATTCTTTTATATTTTAAATGCAATACTCTTTTTTTTTTTTGAACTTTAAGTCACAAATAATTAGATTTATAACTTATCTTTTGATATATTTTATGAAACTTTTTAATATATCACAAGCATCATATTTGTTTTTTCAAAAAATAAACTCATATATTTTGTTTGTGGGTAAATATACTCATTGAATAATAATAAAAGAGGTTTTCAAGTTGAGTTACTAAAATATTGTCCTATGAAAATTTTCAATTAACAAGACTATAGTGATTTTATTATTTAAACTTAAATAATATGTATAAAAAGTAAAAAGAAAGTAAACAAACGGTAAAGAAAACAATGCAACTTTTAACAATAAATTATTCAAAATGAACCTAGAACTTATAATTTCACCTTCACACTTCTTTATATTTACTTTAATTAATTTTGATTTTAATTTATTTATGATTATCAATCACTTATATAAAATCTATTAATATCTAACAGTCATGCAATATTAACATCATTTTTCCTAAACTATCATTATTAATGGTTATGCAAGGCAAAGAAAGAGGAAAAACATAAATAACTTATAAGTTTGTTAATTTAATAATAATTGAAAGAGAAAAATTAAGCTTGATTTAGTTAATTCTTTATCTCGTTTTACCCTATAAATATATTAATTACATGTTATATGATCGTCAATAATGTAATTAATTATGATATATTAAGAGTCGTCAATTCCAAACATATGGATATAAACACGCTAGAGCAAAATCAATTTAAAAAAAGAAATCATAATTTTTTATTAAACATAAAGATCATATAAAGTATGCAAATGATCCACCAAAGTTTTAATTATAGATTTAGCTACTCATAATTATGTAAACAACAAAAGAAATTGTAAAAAAATCAAATCCATTTGAAATAGAAAAACAAACTAGAGGAATCTCAAGAAAAAAGAGATGAGAAAAGTTCTTATCCCAAGATGCATTCTCGATCACTTGCTTAGACTTTGAAACTCCAGAAGGGTATTCTATATCTTCACCAATGATTCTCACAACCCAATAGCTATAAGAGTTGTCAAAAGGTGATTAAGAAAATATTATTTCTTACAGGCCCTCATTGTTCATTAAATAGGATTCTCAAAATCCTAAAAAAAATTAATTTGAATTACTACGCAAGTAGCATGGCCGTGTATACCATCAAATACGATCATGCTTGTCCTTAAAGCACGCCTAGTGCTGCCTATGAAGTAAGGTTGTGCTTTTTTCTACATATAGCCTAACTTTCCATCATATTTCATATAATTGTGGCCAAAAAAAAAAATGTTGCATACTTCACTGGTAATCTATTTCACGCTAAACTGTAAAATCAACAAAAAAATCCATGCAAAATTTCCATCAAATAGGGATCAAGTGTATGAAACTAAACTGGAAAAATACTGCAAAATATAAACTTATCATCTTTCTACTAAAACCATCAATAAAAATAATAAAATATTTGTTACCTCCATTAGATGAGATATCTATATGGCATAAATATGAGTGCACCAACTCAAGCCATTTTGTTGCTCTTCATACACATCCTTTAGGAAAAATATCTTTGTGCTTTTTATTAATTATACAAGTTTCACACAATTGGTCAAGAATTTGGATGTCTGGTAAGCCCATCCCATTTTTTATTTGCCTAAAAACTTGATACTTTGAAAGTTGAAGTGCACAAGTTACATATGTCAAAGCTAATTATCATCAACAGACATAACATCGCAAAATAAGGAACCATTATAGTTTATGTTCATTGGGAATAGCTTGTTGCTTAATATGTTTGTCTTTGCTATCAAACTCATCTCGTTATCATTTATAGTGCATCATTTCTTAATAAATTGCAAGTCAACCTTTCTTCACCAGTGGTCCCACACTCAAGAGATTTTGACATATACTAAGTGCATAAAATACATAAGAGATAAAGTTCAAAGACTCATCCTTCAATTTAATTGCAATCCTTCCTTTTTCAATAATGGGAAGTTTTGAGTTATTACCAAACTTAACTGTGGTTTTGAAGCTTTTATCTAAGTCAGAAATAACTTATTTTTCACTTAGATGATTATTGTATCCTATATCTAATAGTCATTGATTGTCATTCTTATCAGTAATTGCATCAGTAGTAATAAGCACGAATTTCATTTTATCATTCGTCTTTATATTATCTTTATTTTCTGCAACTTGAGCGTGACTTTTCCTAATATTCAATTATTTAGCATGTCATTTTCAATTATAATAACTATATTTATTACAATTATCACACTGGATATGTGATTTGCATTCTTATTAAAAGTGATCATACCTATTACATTTATAATATTAAATATTAGACTTATTTTAAAAATTATCATTACCTCTTATATCTTGACTTAAATTATTTTTAAAGTTATTCCCTTTTTTTCTAAAATTTTGACCACTTTGATTATAATTCTACCTTCTTAGAAAAGGTCTCTCGTATGTGTTTGAGCTTTTAATGCTTACTCACTTATACTTGACTTTTTGTTCATTCGCATTTTACGTTGACTCCAATGACACTTGGAAATCACTCAATGTCATTGAGCTGAAATCTTTTCCTTCTTCAACAATTGTCACCACGTAATCAACTTGAGTGGTGAAAGTGTGCATAATTTTCTTCATGACTTCTTTTTCTGTTATATCAGCACCATTGCTCTTCATGTCATTGACCAGTTTCTCTATTCATAAAGAATAATCACGAATACTTTTATTTCTGCCTTGCTCTATCATCAAGTTGAATTGCCATTTTAAGCTTTACAACCTCATTTGTTTGACTGGAGTAGCACCTTCATATGTTTTGAAGAAGATTTCTCAAGATTCTTTTATTAAGAATAAAACATTTTTATTGAATTGATGATCTTTATATATTTACTTCATATTAATCTTTGTTTCATTTCCTTTCTTTTGTTCATCATAGCCTTTCTTTATGATCTCACCGTAATCGCTAGTTTTTATACACAACTCTATCAAATGTTTCCAAATAGCAAAATTGTTTCTACCATCAAACTTGAAGACAACAGTTAGAATATGTTGGACATGTTTCATTCCCAAACTTAAACTTGCTATCATCTTGTATCAACTAGCTTTGAAACTAGATGTTGGCAATATATAATGAGTTGTCTTGAAATAATTACAAGATATTGCTATTAAACTAGACTCATTAGACTCTTTCTCTTTTTCTTTGTTTCTCTTTTGAAAATGTTATTATTACAAAAATAAAAAAATTACCTATTTATATTGTAACAAGTTTATATTTATCACCTAAATTGACAAAAATGATTATACATACAATATTTAGAATAACTAGTAACAACATTCCATCATTTACTAATAATATTTGAACAAATTTAACCTCTAACATTCCATCTTTTCAGCATCATTCTTAATATCCAAATTTCAGAATTTACTTGTGATTATAAAAGAATTTTGTTCTGGTAACTGGTTCCAGCAACTTTTAGTTGTTGCTGCTGAGTCCGGTGGTAAAATAATCAACTTTTATTTAACTATTGCATATTCATGTTGTTTTCACTTACTAAATTTTCTTAATCCTGAAAGCAGCATTGTACATTAGTATTAATCAATTGTTTTCATTTTAATGATGCAACCAATTATCTGCATTTGAACTACTTTCTTGTCTATTAAACAAGTTAACCCCCCCCCCCCACCCAAAAAAAAAAACAAAAATTATCTCCAATTAATACTAAAGGACCCGAAGTTCGTAATGCAAGACTTAAAATAAATCGAAGTCATAGTGATTCTAATAGACAACTAGCTATAACATAAAAGTTTCTATTTCATTAATTGATGGCTTTCAGGTTCGAATGTTAAAAAATCATTGCAAACATGAAACTTGCGGCTATGTAAACAATCAATTCTAGCAGCCATGAACTAAAAATTGTGAACCTTTAGCAGTGACTAAAATGGGTGTATTCTGCCAGCAATTTCACATTGGTAGCTTAGCCATTTATTTGTGTGTGAATATACAATGTTTTCAAATCAAGTTGAAGCCAGCAAGGCATTGGCTATGATAACAAGATGAACATGGGAACTGTGGTTCTGGTTTTAGATCTATAGAACATTTTCCTCTTCTTGTAGGTCCAATTTTCAATTGTTATGACAATCCTCCCAGGTTCACTGATGTAAAAGGAGTTTCTAGTGCTTTCACCCACTATGCTTTGGTTTTGAAGTAAAATAGTGTATGAGCCTTCATCATCTGGAATGAACTCTTCCTTGTAGGACACATCCCACCCAACCACAGTTACATCCCACATCACTGTCACTCCAGGCTAGGCAGATCAAAAATCAAATTACAACATATTAAAGCATGGTAAAAAATAACACATTTTTAAGTGCATGTGCATTTAAAAAATTATACAAAAAATCAAAATTTCATGTTGAGTACCTCATGGATTGGAAATTCAACTGTAGAAACCACATTTCCTCTGATTTTATGCTCTAATACCTTATCAGCAAGCGAAAAATCTTCATCATTTTTTCTCCTTAGACCGCCATATTCAACTGGAAGATGTTCTGGGGCTATATACCTTCACAAATCACAATGTTAACTGTAGTTGTAAGATAAGATTCACAATGGGACACTAGGCTGTGTTTGTGTTAGGTTTTCTTAAAAATAAAAAATCATTTCTAATAAAATGTAAAAATAAAATGAAAAAATATTTTATTTATTTTCATAAATACGATATAATTTTCTTAATTTAAAAATAAAATATTTGTCCTTGGATAAACCCATTTCTCAAATATACTTTAAGGTAGGAGCAACTCACTTGAGAAGTGTCTGCGTGACCCTCTGTGGCCTAGCTAAGATGAACTTCTTTTTATTTCTCTGGTTCATGAATCTTGAGACTAGCACTTGAGACGTGTAGAACCAAAATGGAGCATATACTACTATCTGCAAGTCAAATAAAAAATGAGGGAAAGGAAAAACAAAAATTAATTTTGCAGTTTCAATTATGATTAGGTTCTCCTCTTGTAGTCTACTTTTATATACTAACATTTTTGTGAATGAGCTCAGGATAGTAATTCTGACACAGTATCAAAGCTTTTTTGTTGACTGCGTTAAGCTCCTTAGTTCCTTGCATTGTTGTGTTCTTTAAATCAAGAATCTGAATAATGGAATCAGCCCCTCCTTCTCTAAAGCAAAGCTTCTTCACAGCCTTTTCCATCAACTGAATTCTCCATCTCAAAAACAGGTCACATCTGTGTTGTGTGCCAAAAGTCTTCTTGTAAACATGCCTATCTCTGAAGACCCCACAAACATGGTAACAAACTGGACGACCTTCCCTATCCCTACTGCATAAAAATCCAGCATTTTCAAACTCAGGATCCAAATCTTCATCAAGGATACCATCAATGTTGTTCTTAATTCTCCATAACAAAGTCTTCTGAAGCATGTCAAAGGCATCATTGACCTTGAAATCTTTGGCTTTCAAGAATTTCCTCAAGACAACATCGGTGCCTTGATGACCCTTGCTAGGTAACAATGGAACACCCCAGAGAGAAATATCTCTAAGCTGTTCCCTTGCCACTGCTATTTCTTCTGGTGCAACATTCTCATGATCAGGTTCACCTAACAAATAGTTCCCAAGAATGGCATCTTCAACCTGGCAACGGAATTCCAACAAAGACTTCTTCATCTTGAGCTTAATCTCAGCAGGACTTGGAAGCCCATCTCCAAAAGGTGATGCAACCTCAAGATCTTCTTCTTGATCAGAATCATTGTCCTCATGGGGTCTTTTCTTTTCATCAACTTTCTCATTTTCAATGAGAACTAGTGGCAACCTAAAATGGGTCTTCTCATTTTCATCACTGCATTCATCGGTTTCGCTCATGATTGCTATGTCTCCCCCTCCTCGTTGGTTAGATTTTCAAGCACCGAGCATTTAGTGGAGGGTGGGAGAGAAGAGAGGAAAGGCGGGGCCTTGCATGAAGACCTTGTTTGTTTTCGTTGTGCCAACGTACGATAATGTTGAGTGATGATAGAAATTCACAATTCTCAACCGTTAGTTGAGTGGTGCCAAATATAGAGTTGGTGTGCGTACTTGCGGTGGCATCATCAAGTTTGGTTTCATATTTATTGGCAAATAATGCTTTTCGATTATTTAAACCACGTTGGCATGGTGCAACGCCATCACTCTTTTCATGCAACACAAATCAATCCACAACAAACTTCGTTGTAGTTATCACAATTTCTTGTTTAGAATCTTAAAATCTGGTCTAAGGTAAAATTTCAAGGAACAAGTTTTATCCATTTCAACCATATCCACTTCATCTCCCAAGTTTGATATACACAATTTGCTCTATCGCATCAAATGTTAAATATATAAATGCTAGAATCACCGTTCAATTCTATATGCATGATCAATGTCCTAAATTCCCAGAGACACAAACAACTCTTCCCTTTTATGCCTAAATATTATAAGGAATCTTAAGTCTTTGCAAAATTAATTAAATCGTTAAAAATTTATCAACGAAAGTTGATTTGAGTAGCAAGCGGTTCAGTATCGCTTAAGCAAGATTTGAATATACAGATTATACAGATGAGAAATCAAAACACAAAAAAAAAATTGTATAAATTTTTATTTATTCTTAAAATTTAAATCAAGATTAAAATGTCAGTTATAATAAATTTGTTATATAAACTTCCTTGAAATCCTATTCATTTATCACTACTAAATTATAGTTTATTTTTTATTAAAATAAAAAATATTATTATCTCTACGTAATTTTTAATAAAAATCTAATATTTATTAATTCATTAAGCAGTAATATTAAAATACTAAAATAAAAATAAGAATAAAATCTAACATTAAAAGTATTGATCAAAAACTTTATTTTTCTGCAAACCCTCTTAATAAATAAGTTATTTTGGAAAAATAAAAAATAAATGACATGATAGAAATGTGTAAAATATTATTACTGACTAAAGTGCCCTAAAAGGATAAATAATAGTTTACAATTAAAATTAGATCAAAATATATTAAAAAGTTAGAAGACTAAGAGCATTGTATTTTTTTTAATTAAAAATTTACTTTCAGTGTATTAAAAGTATTTGTTAGCATTTTTCTTTTACAAGACCTCAAACTAAAAAATAAATAAATATTCATTTTTAGTCTTTAAAATTATAAATATCAATATTTTAGTCACTAACTTGAAAAATATCAATTTAAATAATAATATTTTAAAATCACTTAATTTAAATCTTTTAACGTCATTGTTATTTAAATTTCATTTTAAAAAACCTAAAATAAATAAAATTTTATAAAAATCTAAATTAAAATGAGATTTTTATAAATTTAAATAAAGTGATAAATGCTAACAATTTGAGAACCTAAATAGGCATCTATTTAATTGAGGTCGTGACCAAAAATAAAAGTGCGACTTTAACAAGTTATTTATCATACTTAGTTAAATTCATTTGCCCAGAATAACTTATTGTTTAAAAAAGTTTTATGAAAATAAAACACAATAAGCAACAATTTCGTGCAAGTCATAAACGATCGTCCATCACGCGAGCCCACTAGCTGGTGTTGACCTCTCCATAATTATCTTAACTCTTCTTCCGTTGAGTAACATATGATTCAATTCTTATGCCCGTTTGACCTTTACGAGGACTATACATCACAAATAAGACGGGTAAAGCTCAACGCAGAGAAAGTTGAATGAATAAAAAATACTTCAAGAACATTTGGACATCTAGCCACTGTATTCTACATTGCATTTATGGTAGCAGAAAAGGGCATCTACTGTGAGGAAGTCCTATTTACAATAATTTTAAAAAAGAACTCAAATGGTAACTTAAAACACAAGGAATTGACAAGAGGGATGATAAGAAGATACATATAGGTTTGGCCACCTTTAAACAAGAAATAAAAACGCAATCGAGCTCTGTACATAGCAGGCGGCTAATCAATTAGACCCTGCGGATGAATTTTTGGACTCTTGATATTTAGTTAGATCAAATGTGAGAGTTCTCGAACACCTGCAAGAAGCAAAATTATTGCGTAGCCATAAAAAGCAGGTAAATTCACTGGATTTTTGCAATAACAGCATAATGACAAACTTTAAATCATTAATGAAAAAACTTACGCTCTTTCAGAGTCCCTATAAACCCCAACTAATGCTTCGGCTTTGTCATAGAAGGTGTCTTTCAGTGATATCACGATACTCTGAAAACCATTTCCACCATCAGCATCTTGACTAGCCCTCGCCCCTTCACAAGATTTGGAACGAATAAAGCCAGCAACCTTAGCAACATTCAAGTTGTCCAACGCAGCATCAACTTCATCCAATATAAAAAATGGTGAAGGCTTAAAACTGAAACAAGAAGCAAGTAGGGAACCATGTTAAATGGAACATGAAGATTAAATTTCAGTGAAATAGATTTATGTTAGATGTGTTAGCATATTGCTTAGATGAACTCTCATTATTGAAACTCAAATTCAGAGTAGTTATAAAACATTCTTTTTCAAATTCAAGTTTCAGAAAATGCTTCAAAGCTAACGGATCCATATCTAAGCATGCATCTCTGCATATGGGAAGGCGTATTTGGTTTACATGTTCAATTGACTCATACCTGTGGATGGAAAATAGCAATGCAAGAGCAGCAACTGTCTTTTCCCCACCAGATAGTTGCTCCATATCACGGAAGCGCTTTGTTGGGGGCATAGCAGTGTACTTGATGCCATGTAGAAATGGATCATCCTCATTTTCCAAGTTTAAGTATGCTGTTCCCCCCAGTGGATGTGTGTTGCTCTTGGTGAGTTGTTTGTAAATTTTATCTATATTACTAGATATATGGTGGAAAGCTTCCATGAACAAGCGGTACCTGCATCCAAAATAAACCTTGCCTTATTCGTTATAAAAATCTAATATGAATTAACTTTACCTGCACACTTGCAATTACTTTACAAAAAAAAGCTTTCCCCTACAAATAGATATAACACTGCATTTATGTCAACAAAATCATGCGTGTGTGTGTAGTAGCACATCACACTGTTTTCTCGAATTTGATAAATCACACTCAATTCAGCACAGCATCACCGGTTAAAAATCAATCCTCACTACTACAAACAACTAGTCATTTCATTTTTCTTTCCATGTTTTCTGATGTAATTTTAAGACTCCTTAATATGTCCCCCTAAACCATGCACACTAAAAAACAATCGGTTATGAAGACTAATGTCATACATATAACAAATAGACAGATGGAACAAGGTAACTTGTACCTCCTCTCCTTAACGTCATTGAATCTCTGTGCTTTTTCCTCTCCCTCTTTCCTGACAGCTTCAAACTCTTCAGTTACAGCTCTTTCTTTTTCTAGCAGGGCATCATACTGGTCCAATGCCTTCAAATTTGGTGCTGTTCTTTCAATCTCGGACATCAAGGCATCCATTTTTTGCTTAAATTCTACCTCAATTTTATCCCTGTCAGAGTGTCTCCTATCTCTCAGTGCCCTACTTAGTTGATTAAAGTCATAAACTGGACCTGGGGTTGAGCTACCAGTATCCATGGGATCTGATATGATTGGAAGGCTAATCTGTTCTAGTTCACACTTATCTGATATTTCCTGCTTTTGCACGATCAACTGCTCAATCTGTGCCTCCTGTAAAGACAAGAAAGATGTTGGTTATCTACATTATGTGTGCAAGTTACACAAGAGACAAGACGTTGCCCTTCTAACCTTAGAGTTTATCAGACGATTGAGTTTGGATATGTTTGTTGTGGCTGCAGAAGCTTTCTTCTTCCAGTCTTGGATTTCCTTTTCACAATCTTCTGACTTTGATTTCCACTCTACAAGAGTAGAAAGAGAAAGATAAAGAATAAGATTCTCAAGGCAGAAAAAATAAACAAATTGAAGTAATAATGGGTCTGTGTTCCCGTAAAACAAAGCACTACCCAGATAACCAAGCTTCCCCAACCCCCCAAATTCAAATGAAGAATGGGAAAAGAGAGAAAATCCAAAGAAACACAACTATGTAATGTGTTTTTCATCAATATCATAAAGTAAACACAGGTTGCAGCAAAATATACCTTTAGTTTCTTCCTTAAACTGATTAATCTCTTCAGTAGCATTTTCAGCTGCTAACTTTGCTTCAGCCTCTTTGTTCTGTACCTGTTTTAAATCCTTCTCTAAAGCACTGAGAGAAGATTCCAATTCTTGAATTCGAGAACTCATGTCCCGATTTTGCTCATACTCCAACCTGTAGAATAATTTCGAAAAAAGTGTTAACAAATGATTTTTGCCCTTTATTAAATACCAATTTTCCAAGATAACTGAACCTTCTGAACCTCAAGGAGATGAGTAAAAGAAACTTTTGGTGAGAACATTTTATATGCAACAACGACCATATTCCATATCACATAAAAAAAAGTTTCAGTTGAATTAATAATTTTGATGCAGTACATCAGAATTGACTCTTAACTTCTACATAACAAACTATAATTTGAGCTAGACCAACCCAAAAGAGTTACGAATCTAAAATTACTAGTGTCATAGATCCCAGCAACAAAATAAGTATTAGATAGACAATTGCTGACTTACCCACTTCAACAGTTGAACAATTACACAGACCTAGACTTCAATGCATCATCCTAAAACTAGTGTTTCTATCCCTCAAATAATATAGCAATTTTTGTTTAAAAAAATCATAGCTTAGCATCCTAGACCTGGTTGAACTTCAACAATTGTTGTAGTTTTCTTTCCTTTTTCATTTCCAAAAATCTTTTTTTCCCTCCAATTTCATAGCAGTTTTTTTGTGTTATAGTTGGTATTAAACAAACTTTAGGCAAAGCACATACATACAACTTGCATGCAAGCTCATGAATATATTCATTCATGTAAAATTTTTGTAGGTCAAGTTTTTAATAGATAACAAACTGTGTAACTTCAGTAAAAGGGAAGAAGGAACACACTGATATTTCAATTTTGAAAGTTGGCTACTCAGGTTCAGCCTCTCTTCTGCTACATTTTGAGCAGCTTTGAGTCGATTTTCTTCATATTCACGGATGTTTGCTACCCCAACTGACTTGCTGAAGTCTTTGTATATGCGATCAGTGATTTCATTTATCCTCTTCTCAATCTTACGTATTTCTGCATTCCTCTTGTTAACAGCGTCATTTAACTACAGAGCATAAAGCCCAAGTAACCAGTTAGGTATGCAAGAATAGTGCTATGACTAAACTAAGGAAATGTCAAATATCACCTTCTGCAGTTCTGGACTGATACGTTCAATTTCTTCTTTGATGGTCTGTTTTTCTTGGCTCAAATTTGAAAGTTTATCTTCAATGCTTCGCTGGCAAAAATTAAGAGGATAAAGAATAAAAAACTTGAAATATTCCATATGGAACAGCAGACCTAACAGTCAATGTAGTGAAGGTTCCTCACTTCCTCTAACCCATGCCAAGCCAAAACTAGAATCATCTATCTATACAGATACATAAAAAGTTCATTTCAAATCATTCAACTGAATACCATATTAATCATCAGGTCATACATTTATTACCCCCTTCCCTCATTCAGTAGGATTAATTTAGCACTACATCCCTTGGTGAATAAGCATTAACTTATAAGAAGTACACAGAGAGAGAGATCATGCTAGAATCCAGTAACATATAAGTTTCACAAGAATTAACTACTTACATTTCCAAGCAAGAATGACTTGATCCTATACAAAATTCAGGACATTGACAATATTTTCTTGACCAAAGAATTCCAATTTACCCATGTTAGGCCCAATGAGGGAATTCAGGACCAGGTTATTGATGAGTCGAGGAAGCCCAAAGTATGGAAAGTATATACTAGAAAGAGGAATAATAATAAGCAGTAATATGAGTGGCCCAGTTAGTAGATTGGAGGAATGTATAAATAGCAAGTTAGTTTACATTGTAAGGGGGTTATTAATATTCTTGGTTAGTTGGAGGGAATTATTTCGCTTTCGGAGCTATAGCTCTGAGGAACTATTGTAGTTCTTTTTCTGTTTCTCTGTTCATAATCAATAAGAACAATTCATTATTTCTTCCAATTCTTGTTCTTGAATCCTATCAATTGGTCTGACCTGTTGGATACGAAAAAATTGCGCCACGAGTACGAGAACGAATGAGAGATTAGATGCATTGGAAAAATTTATCAATGATTTACGGGCCAATGGTCAAGAGCATAGTGCGCGACAAGAATCGTTTGCGAAAACGATGAAGGGGATACAAGAGTCGATGGATGGGGTACAGGCTTCGCAAAACTCCTTACACGTCACGATGCAAGTCTTGTTGCGTGCGGTTCAGAAATTGATAGGACATAGGATTGATGAGATTCACGAGAACGAGGGATCATTGCATATGGACAATAATATTGATGACGACAATGAGTTTCGTTCTTCCATCAAGAAAGTGGAGTTACCGCAGTTCGATGGTGTGGATCTTGCAGGTTGGATCTGTCGAGTGGAGACGTATTTTGAGGTATAAGGGACTTCCAAGGCTACAAAAATCAAATTGGCCAAGATTTGTATGCAAGGAATTACAATCCATTGGTTCAATTTGTGGAGGGAAAAAGAAGATGTTCCCAATTGGGAAAATCTTAAGCAAGCCCTAATTGTGAGATTTGGAGGAGATCATCTCAGTAACCCTTTCAAAGAGCTGAAATTGCTGAAACAGGAGGGCACAGTGGAAGAATTCATTCAACAATTCAAGTTATTGGCGTCGCAAGTTCCCAAATTACCCCAAATTCAATATCTGGGTTATTTTGTGGGGGGCTTGAAAGAGGACATGCTACTCAGGGTTCTTACTTTGGATCCAACAACAAGGAAGCAAGCCATGAAGTTGGCTAGGGAGTTTGATGTAGAGCTAGTAAAGTCTAGGGATGTTGTGACATCGCGGGGTAAATCTTCCTCGGGGAATAGTTTCGATGGCTCAGGATTTCGACGAGACTCTTTTCTTGCATTTTCTCATGAGGGTTCTCATTTGGTGGTGGCTTTCATTACCTAGGGACCCAAAGAGCCTTCGTTCAGGGTAATCCAGGGTTGCTCACACTAGTGTAGATAATCGTTTTGGAGGAAATTGTAGCAGAGGAATTCGACATCTTTTGCATGATGCAATGCTTGAATGTAGCAGATTAGGCCTCTATTTTATGTGTGGAAAAGTTTGGTCCATGACATCTATGTAGAGACAAGTCCCTGCGTTAGACTATTATGGTTGAGGATGAAGAGGTCTAAGAGGAGTTTTTTTTTGGAGCCTTTGGAAGTTGATGGTTCTGAAGAAGATACCAAGGAGCTTAAATGCAAGGTGATGAGATTTTTGGGCCTTTCTAGTTCTAGTCAGGAGGTTGCCAAAGTGAAGAAGTTGAACAGGCTGTTAGGAGGGGTGGGTGCCAGTAGTAATTTTGGTGGATAGTGGAGCTAGTGCCAATTTTGTAGCCCCTCAAGTGGTGCAAGCATTAGGCCTAGAAATTTTGGAGGAAACGAAACTACAAGTCAGGTTAGGCGATGGACATGTAGTGTTTACGAAAGGATTCTATTCCAATGTTCTTATTCAGGTGGCTAAAGTTTGGATGCTCATGTGTTAGATTTAGGGGGCCTTAATGTCATTTTGGGCATTTCTTGACTCAAGACGTTGGGCAAAGTCGTGGTCAATTGGAGTGACATGAGCATGTCTTTCTCTTGGGGAGACACGATTGTTGAGTTGCGTGATGTCGGGTCAAAGAAGTCAAGCAATAAGAGAGGGTTGGCTGTAAAGAACACTGTACCCTTGAACAATTTAACTGGCACGGATGGCTTGTCAATTGAGGGAATTTCGTGGAACAAGACAGATCAGTGGGGGTTGAATTTTAAGGCCGATATATCTCCTTCACAGCAAATAGAGTCGGGTGTACTTCTTGATCAGTACAAGGAGGTTTTCGAGGAGCTTAAGGGTCTTCCTCCCGCTCGTTCCATAATACATGCAATCAACCTTAAAGAAGGGTCAGACCCAGTAAATGTTCCTCCCTACAAATACCCTCATCATAAAAACAAGATCGAAAAATAGGTGCACGATTTATTGTCTCACGGAATTATTCGCCATAGTACCACTCCTGTGATTCTTGTGAAAAAGAAGGACAACTCATGGCGAATGTGTGTGGACTACCGGGCCTTAAACTCCATAACCATTCCAGATAAATTCCTTATTCTAGTAGTAGAGGAATTACTAGATGAGTTGTTTGGTTCCAATTTCTTTTCTAAATTGGACTTAAAATCTAGATACCATCAAATTCGAATGCGCACAGACGATATTTGTGAAACAGCGTTTAGGACTCATGAGAGCCATTATGAGAGGGAATTATTTCTCTTTCAGAGCTATAGCTCTTTTTCTGTTTCTCTGTTCATAATCAATAAGAACAATTCATTCTTTCTTCCAATTCTTGTTCTTAAATCCTATCAACCCATACAAACATTGGTGAGGATGTAGGCCATGAATGTGGCTTTGAAGCATGGGTACAACATATCCCATGGTGTACCGGTACTGGTACATTGTGGGTAAGTCTAGGTATATACCCAAAACAATTTGCAAGAAAAAAAAAGAATTGGGTACAGGAAATGGGTACGGAGGTATGATTTGGTTACGAGAAATGGAACTTTTGGACCAAAAAGGTTTTGATTTTTTTTTTGTGCCCAAAAATCTAACCCGATTGTCTCTTTCTCCCCTCCAACTTCCACATATCCATACTTCCTCCAACCTCCACAAACCCATAGGCTGCAAACTACTGCTTTTCTCCTCCCATCTCAAACCTCAACCATCAACCCTCACAAGCAAGCAGCAACAAAAGGTGATAGCGGTGGCAAGTTTGGCAACCATCTCGGGCAACAGCAAGCCACAAATATGCTAAAATTTGTGTTTTTATTATATATATATATATATATATATATATATATATTGATTGACGTACCCATATCCATGCAACATAGGAATGTAGTTAATTGTTAACCTTGTTTTGTATTCACAAAAACTTTCAACATTTTAAGCATCCAAAATGATTTATTGGTTCCTTTGAATTTGAACTGAGTTAATATAATATGACCTAGTTTGAATTATTTTCTCAATAAATACCTATACTTGTATGAGACAAGAAAATAAAATTGATCAAATTTCTTCTCATAAATTAAGAACACCTTATGCCTCTTTTCTTTCCTGGAAACATGAGATGCATAACTTGATTTTAACTTTAGAGAGAAGTTTTATTTTTTTTTACATTTTATTTGCTTCTTCTATAAGTGTTTATTTAGAAGTTTACCGAAACTAAACCTATATCAAGAACATGGGAACAATGCCATAAAGCCCATGTGCATAAATATCTTCAATAAGTACTTATTTGATTACTCTTTCATTTGCAATCTAAGATAAGCTTAATAGCTCTTCAATAGACACATCCAAAAGGACTTGTGCAGAAATGAAATTTTTACAATTCATTAAAGTTAATTAATTTAGTCAGAAATTATTATAAAAAGAGCCATCTCCTAAGTTGTATTTAGCTTTCACAATTGTTTCACTTTTCAAAAGCTTTGAATTCTATTCTAGGTAATGAAAATGAGCCCAACTCAACTTACATATGTTTCAAAAGCTATTTTGATAAACTCATCCAAACAGGACCAAAATGCTTATAAACTGTTATTTCTCAAAAGAGCCAAAATGTGCCACACGAACCACATCCTCAACTGATTGTGAATGCACATATAGCAAGCACATCAAAGGACAGGAATAAATTTTCAATAATCCTATGGTACCTTACTCTCTTGCATTTACTTTTGCTCATTTAGTAATTTCTTCATTTTTAATTTTAAAACATAAATCAGGGGAAAATATCACCATAGGTGGGTTTTGCTAATTTACAGGAGAACTGAAGAAGTTTCCCACAGACAGAAAAAGAGAAATGAAACCACAACAATAAAATGAAATAAAAATTGCATGCTTGATTGTACCTTTTCAATCTCAGCATATTGAATTTTCTTCTCAAGCCCACTAATTTTTCCAGATGCTTCAGACTCTTTAAGGTGCATATCCCTTATTGATCCTAGCTCTTCCAACTCTTGTTCGTACTGCTCTTTCTTCTTATTAAGTCCTGAAAAACAGCATGTTTATTAAAAGAACAAAACCTTCAAGTAACTTCTTAAAAAACTGATAGAAACCTTCAATTTTCTTGTCATCCCACTGTTTTGACCTAGCTTCCATTCCACCACTAGTTCCACCAGTCATAGTCCCCGATTTTGTCAGCAGAATTCCATCCACAGTTACAACTAATCAAATCATATTACAAAGAACAATGTTAACTAATTTGCATTCTGACAAACATGACTCACATGCATAATAAGTACACTAGGATTCTACAGAAGCAAAAAGGCTTGTTAGGTAAGTAACAAAATTACAGAACAAAGAAACTGAAATTTGCAAAAATCAGAGTTAAGGAAAGACTATACTGGGTGCCAAAAAAGAAGGGTTGAGAAGAAGCCAGAGAGAAAAACATGTGGGCCATCAAAAAGGAAAATCCAAGACTCCAAGTAATCCCAATATAATGGCATTGCCATGTCAGCAAGAAGATACAGTTTCCTGTAGAGAATAACAAGAAAGAAAGGCATTGTTACCTTTAAACCTCTCACCACTCCAGCTTAAAATTTTGGCCTCCTCAAGATCATCACAAACAAGAGTATTCCCAACAGCAAAGAGAATTGCCTTCTCCAAGGAGGGATCAAACTTGCACTAGTTAAGTTGAAAAGCTTAAAGCACTCTTCAGTTCATTAGAGGTGTATAATTAAGCGATTAACAAAAACCATGAACTTAAAAACTTCATAATGGAGAATTCATAAAGAGAGGAGAAAGAGAAAGCACAGGAATGATTCATGTTCAATTCTTAATAGACCACCTAATTAAAATTCAAGAATGTATCTGTCCATACAGGAATTCATTAAATTGACAGAACGCTCAACAGCATTTTGATGAGAGGAAACTACTGAACAAAATCGATCACATGTGAAAAAACTATAAATCCAACCAGGGAGAAGATTTGATTAGAGAGGGCTACAGGAAACAGCACTGGCAACAGAAGCTAAAGCATAATTTAGCAATACAGCACAAGTTGGGTGCAGACAGTGTAACAATAGCAAACTGTGAGAGCATAACAAAAAAACTGAGACCAAATGACCAACAGAATTTAATAATGTTGAGATGACAGCAGCTCTACCCATCACAATAACAGACAAGATTACTCAACCCATAGAAACAACTGCTAACATGATTTTGTTTTCTAAAGTTCCTCTAGGATTTTGAACATCCAATTAAAATGCAGCAGGAATCATGTAAACCATTCAATTAGTGTAAAATGGATGAACCAAAAACCGCACTACATAAAATGGTATTGGATGTAGTGAAGGGTGGCCCACCCATAACTTTTATGTGCCTCTCCATATTCAGAAATTTTCAAGAAACACAGCTAACATCAAAAATTGTTTATTTTTAAAATCAATCAAAATAATAGTGTCATGATGGACAAGCTAGCTGTAGAAGGAAAATTTAAAGAAAAATTTGTCAGATTTTACTAGAAAAAATTTCAATATAAAAAATTTGAAGCTATCGTAAACACATTCAGAACTACATTTTCAAAGCAGCCACTAGAGAAAAAGGATATTGAATCACATCAAAAACCAGTTTTGCAGTACCCCCTAATGTGCGCAATCTTTCCATAATTGGCTTCACCCGAACAGACTGCAGAGGAATAAATGTCTGTGGAGGAAGCCTCTGATCTTTCAAATACTGAAAAGAAGCAAAGAAATCAATATATAAAACACAATTAACTCAAAGAAACCAATCATAGAGCTTCAATGTTCAAATATGCAAAATTGCACATTTGAACACCAACCTTCTAGCTTTCAACAATTATAACAATTTAGTTAACAAATAGGAAATAACATAGAAACAATTTTAAACAAAAAGATCTTGTTATAACAATCTGGTCAATGCAACCAAAGAGATGTGTCAAACACGACATAAATTCCACAGGATTAATAGAAACAGCAAGTTAAAGGTAATTATTCTAGTTGTCAAGTATGAAAAGGAAACAAAACGAAGGTCCAGTAGCTTGAAAGGCACCAAACAAGCTTTGATGCTTGAATCTCAGTTAACTAGGTTTATGCAGCACATGACTTCTGTACTATTTCTGATGTCTACAATAAATTTATATTTTGCTTTTTTATTTTTTCATAGCTCGAGCAGTGTTTTTGTACATTTACATCACCAATTCACCAGACCAATTAATGTTGTGTTGGCTTCTTTTATTTTATTTTCTTATTGTTTATTCATATTGTGTAATCACCAAAATTAGGAACAGAAAGGATATCCAAATCAAAAGCAACCGAAAGTCATCAACCGTAAACAGAAATTGAGTTCCACAAGATAACTTCTCAATCATAAAATTAAAAACAAAAACCAAAATGGTACTGAGTGAAATATTAGGAAATCTCATTAGAACCTTGATGCATTCTTTCCCAGTCTTTTCATCCTCAACTACAACTGCATCCATAAATCTACCCATAGCAACAGTAACAGCTAGGTTATACTTCTTCTGTGTTGGCCTACAAAGATCAGTCATGCGACCGTGAACTCCTTGAAACAGACGTTTCAGAGTCTCTACAGCTTGAGACAATTTGGCATCTCTCTCATTTTCATATCTATCAGCCTTCAATTCTCGTAGTTGATTTTCTAATTCACCAATTTTTAACTTCAAATTTTCATATTTTTTCCTGCAGATCAAAAGTAGCACCCACCATTTCAAAAATATCCTCAGCAAAGTACTTTAACAGTTTAATGCAGTGGGAAGCTTTCCCAAAAAGATGCTTATTAACAAGTTAATTTACTTGGAATCACGATGTTTGTCCTGCATCACACGTAGTTCTTTTTTCAAGTTTGCAAGGCCATCCTTATTTTTTGTAGAATTATCAAGAATTTTTTTTAGCCTTGCTCGCATTTGTTCTTCCTGTGAATTCAATTCAGACTCCCTGTTTCTTAACTGTTGAAGATTTTCTTCTAAATTCTTTTGCGCTTCACTATCAGCATGTTGTTGCCTATCTAGAAGCTCTTTTTCTTCCTTAAGCTTTGCAGTTTTCATCCCAGCTTCCTCTTTGCTGTAATAGCAACAACATCATTATCACAAGTTCCAGAAGGAAAAATTATTAACAAATGATAAGTTAATATGCATGCTAACAACTAAGTACTGACAGACATAATTTTTAATTCCTTGCAGAAAAAATGAGCTACCAGTATACAGAATTGATCAAATTCAGTACAAAATTATGTAAGTTATTTTCATTGCTTATCAGGAATGTTCCAGTCAAGAATGTGTAGCCCAACTATTAAGACAGGCAATTCATCATTGAATAAAATACAATATGCAAGCAACACCAACTACAACAGTTTTGCCTGATATTAGTCAAAATTAGTGCATGTTCTAATTTCTGGCCAATGACCCTTGTTTTCTTTTTCCTTTTCATTTCAACATTAACCAACTAATGCATAATTTTAAATTTTAACTCACAAGACCTAAACGACTTTTCTTCAGCAAAAAGAGAAAACGATAAATAGGATTAACAAAATAGTTTTACCTATTAGGCTACCAGTCCAGCTGACAAATTATATCGCTAGCATAATCAAATAAGTATTAAGTACACAGTAGATATGTGGCAGACAAGATTTTTAAGTGCTAGCCAAAAGCCCAAAACTCAATAGCATTCAAGTTTACTCTCAGCACAATGCAAGTATTTTGTTTTAAAAAAACAATGTGTAGACTAGTGGCGGTGACAAATGGCTACAGCAAATACACTCACATTCGAAAATATTCTTCCAAGTCATTGCCATCCAACTTTAGCTGTTCACCAACATCTCGACCTTTTACCTGTAGCTCTGCCATCTTTGCAGAAAGATCCTGGATGCCCCTCTGTAGCTCAGCTATATCAGCAGCATGCCTCCTCCGTTCTTCCCTTTTTTTATCCAGCTCTTTCTTCCCTTTCTTTATTTTTGAATTGATTCGATTCATTTCCTCCTTTAACTTAAGAAGCTCAGGTTGCTGCAGGGAGGGTAGAAAACCAGAGAAACAATTCCATAAACTACTTCGTACATTAAGAGCATAACAAAACAATCAACAATAGGAACAGAACTAGAACTTAGCAAGATGATTTTCAGGTACTCCTGGCTCTTTGGCTCTTTGGCTCTTTTTCTTTTTCGTGTCTAAAGAAGTTGCCACCTTTACCATTCATGCGATTCCCCGATTAACAAAACCATTTTTCAAACAAAAAAACTGCAATTTTTTACCCAGTTTTCTTCACATTAAACATGACTAAAAGCAACAAGGTTCAGAGAGTAAAGCATATAATCTACACTTGTAATCCCCTGTCCCACCCCAAATGTAGTAAAAATTACTCACACTCTTGTCAAGCTTGTTGCTTTTCTCAGAAATTCTCTTTTCACGTAGTGCAATCTCTTTCAGATATTTGGCCTGTTCTTTTTTCTTTTTACCAGCTTCATTTTCAAATTTTTCTAGTTCTTCAATAATGCCTTCACGACTCTTTTTCTCATCTTCAAGATCATCAGTTGTTTTAACAATATCATTTTCTATATTAAACAATTGCCACAAAAAATGCTCTTTCTTCATAGATTTCTGCAAGAGAAAAAACAAATAGATACTTGAGAACTTCACCATAGGCAATATGGTCAAGATTAAGAGACAATCCATGAAATAATGATAGTTGCACACATAACTAGGAGTTGAAATATCAAGCATAGTTATAGTTACCCAATTCGTAATTCTATTTGGTGCATGTACGCGCTACGCAATAAGCTACTATATATCACATATGGTATGCAAAGAATAACACTATTTGGGCTCAAACTATTAATATTTTGTATCAATTATCCTAGCCTAATGCAAGAGCCCAATAACCTTTCAAACCTTGTGCTGAACCCCTCTAGCTTAGTTAAGCCCAATTCAGACCAACACACAAATTAAACCCCCAACCTAAATGGGCTAACCCAAAATAATTAAGTAGATTTGACCCTAAGATATTTGGGTGAGGTCATCAAACTGGTGTCAGGAACAGTCACAGAGATTAGGTGGCATGGTCTGAAAAAGCTAATGGTTGGTGGCGGTCTGTGGGAGTGGTCCATGGTGGATTCTATGTCAGTGGAGGAAAGACAGAACAGACCAGTCCATGATTGCACTTTATAATTTTGCACCCCTTACATGCTGCCAGAGAGTCACAACACCATGTTGAAAGTATTTCATGAGGCAACAATGAGCTAAAATATCAAGACTCTTGGGTATCATGGTGCTTCCTTGGTTTTGCTTCCCAAACATCAATTCTTACATCCCAAATCATGAACAGGAACAAAATGGTACAAAATAGTACTCCAATAGGTATACACGCCCCAGTTCACAGTTTGTGGGAGAGGTGAACAAATTTGGTAACAACAATATGGAGCATAAATGCTGTTCAGGAATGTAATCATATCATTACTTTAGTTGGAAGAAAATAATATCTATAGATACTTGATCAAACATGTTGTAGTGGTATAGTTAGCAACCAATCCCAACCCTTGCAGGGGCTTATAGTAAATATATGCTCACAATCAGCATAAACTATTACAACGAAGGGGAAACATTAATGGGAAACACATGGACATGGAGATCGCTCAATGTGGCACCTTCAATTTGATGGTAGCCTTTGGATCATCAAGAAAAATATCTACTTTTGATCAATTATCTCTATCAAGTACCCAACAAGTTCAATGTGGAGCATCGAAGGAGGGAAGAACTTAAAAAAGCAGTTATGCCACAGAAGCATTGATGATTGATGTAAGGAGGGCTTCAGGAAAACAGAAGGTGAATATCTTTCTTTTCACTTTTAACACTTTTTATGGTTAATAAAACTACCACCCTGGCCTCGGTCCAAATAGGCATGTGGCAAACGAGAGCACAATAAAACAAAAAATTAAGATTGCATTAAATTAAAACAGGCCAAACGGAACCATCAGTAACCTACACATAGATGTCGTGGGGAAAAAAAAGAAAAACTCCTCTAAAGCGAGTTTATTTGTAAAATGAAAAAAAAAACAATTATGCACCTTTAGATCTTTGTAGGTTAGTATCATTGTGTACTTGTTAAAAACATGTAAGATACCATATAAACCACTCCGAGTTGCGTTGAATACACATGCGTTCAGACTATTTTGACGCAAAATCAAACACATTATAAATCAATGATAAATAATCCCTTGCTTTTTCACTTTACAAAGACCTTAGGAGCCTTGTCTTATATTATGTACAAACAAAGAGATACAGTTACCAGTTGATCCTGCAGGCGTAGATGTTTTTCTGCTTCTTCCTTTTGCGCTTTCTTCTGCTTTCTCTCCGTAACCACCGTCCTCTTCTTCTGATAAACAAGCGCTGATTTTTCCTGAGCAGCACCTTTTTCCTCTTCGAACTGCTCAAAATCCCTCTTGAGCTCATCAGAACCAGATATCTGCTCAATCAGCGCAGTGAGCTCTTTCGGATTTTTCGACGCAATGGATTCCACGTCACCCTACACAACACAGCAGCGTCAATCAGAACGGTTGAAACCTAAACCAGAGCGGGATAGAAAGAGAAAACTGAAGCAGAACCTGAAAGACTAAGAAATTGCGAGCCTTGACAAGAATGCCAAGGGATTTGAGTCTGGCGTTGTAGGCATCCCAGTTTACAACGTTGCCGTCCACGCGGTACTCACTAGCTCCGGCACTGGTGATGGTTCGGGTGAATTGGATCTCAGTGGAGTTAGCGAGTTGGTAGACCAAGCGAACGAAGGCTCTGCGTCCTTTCTGCTCTTTCTCTTTGTCGTCGAAGGCGTAGATGAGGTCCTTGAGTTGCGCACCGCGGAGTTGGCCGGTTCTGACGCCGAGGACGAAGCTTATGGCGTCCATGAGGTTGGACTTGCCGGCGCCGTTGGGGCCAATGATGGCGGTGAAGTCGAAGAAGGGACCGATGACTTGGAAGCCCTTGTAGGACTTGAAATTATCCATCTCCAGACGGTGGATTTTGCCCGGAGAGAGTAGCGACGGCATGGTTGTGTGATCGGAATGAAACCCTAAGTGGAAAGTGAGAGTGCAGTGAAATTGGGAGAGAATGGGAAGGGGGTTAGGGTTTGGGAATTGAAAGGAAGAGGGAAATTTTGGCGGGAGGATAATTAGGAATTGGGAGAGAGTGGGTTACATTGTTATGCAAGTAGCAAGCAGCAAGTAGCAGAAGCAACTATGATTCAACCATGAGTCGTACCGCTATCGTTAATCTTCCGTTTTCGAGTGCCTTTTTCCCCTTGCTGATCTCATTTTCATTTCAGAGTTTCTATCCAAAAATTTAGGATGTAATGAACATTTTTGGTTAAATATGTTTTAAATTTTTTTTTTACATACAATCTGTGAATCAATTTTTAAACAACAACATATTAAAAAGTCGTATCAAATAGAGTAATTTTAATAATTAAATTTTATTATTTTTTATTTTATTTTTTAGCTAATTGTATTTAATATAACAGGATATTTAATGTTAATAATAATAGAAAAATAAAAAATATAATTGATCATGTGATAAAAAAACAATATATATTCTACTTCCTCACCCTATTATTTGTCTCTAAGATACTGCATTTATTTAAATTATTAATTACATAAACTTTTATTATAGATTTTTAACAAAAATATTATTTTTAAATTATTTAAAGAAGAAAACTATATGTTTAAATTTCTTTGTATACAAATTTTTTTCAAGTAAATGATAATCACGAACCATGAAAAAAAAGAGTTTTAAATTTTGTTAAGCTTGAAAATATTTTATAGTTTTTTATTTTAGACTTAAAAAAAATATGAATGAGATATTGTTGAATAAGAATGTTTATGAGACAGAAAAAGAGAATGAAAATATGTCATTTTATTTGCCTTTAAGACAATACACGCTTCTAACAAAATATTAATTATATAAATTAGTATATTCAAAAAAGTTTCAAAAATATATTTATTAACAAAAAATGTAATTCTCGAAGACTTATTTAAATGTGCAAGTAAATTCTAAAAGTGAAAAAAATTATTAAAAAAATTAATAAAGAAAGAAACATACTTTTTTTAAGTAACGTGTTACGAGATAAACCAAAAAAATGAAAACACAAATAAACATGCAATGAATATTTAATGTCCGTAAATATAGTCGCTGATCTGGAAGGAAATTAATGGAACAATTTACAATTTACACTCTCTATTCGATTTTTTTTTTAATTTTATTTTCTATTTATAATAATTTTATTTAATTAATATTTAAGATTATTTTTATTTTTCAATTAAACAGTTATTTAAGGATAATCATTTCAACTTACAACTATAATTATATCTCTTATTTATTAATTTGTTACCTACATCTTATTTTTAGGTATAGTAAAACAAGGGATTTTTGTCAAGACAGAATATAAAAAGGTCTACATCAATTAATTCTTCAAATTAGTATATGTAATTTTAACAACAACAACAAAAAATGGAAGGTATATTTTCCTAAAATCTCCTGAACCGAACATAGCATAGTCAGTGTTCCCAAACTCTTCTCTTTAATTTAACAGAACCGAAGGTGATGTATGAGATTATATTTAGCTTTAAATTATTTCGTAAACACAATTTCAAAAACAAATCAATGATATGATAAAAAACTCACCCTAGTACATAAGCTCTTAACGAATAAAGATAAGATCCATTCGTGTGGTGCTCGGCACAGAATTAAGAAAAATCAACCCAGCAATCACCATTATCGAACAAACCAGCCATAATGGTAGGGTTAGCCACTGGTGCCCTCATAATGCCTCAACGGCAAGAGATTTCCGAAGAGCCATCTTTTAAAGAAAAATTAGTCTTCATTGATGTTTAAGAAAATTTTAGGTCCTTTTCAACAGATCAGTAAATCCATTCTTCAATCAAATTATAATTTATAAGTCAATATCTTAATCAACAATCTGTTTATGCAATATGCCTTATTGCATCATTGACCGTACCTTTGGCTTAAACTTGTGAAAATGAAAACCAGGAAAAAAAAATCAAAAAATTTCCGCGAAACATCGATCAAAATCCACTGTGAATTTCCACTCTTTCGTGGAGAGGTCCAAGAACTTACGAGAAGAACTTCCTATTTTCATAGTAAATCATAAAGAAACCAAAATATACGAGAAACTGACATCGAGTTATAATTAATCGAAACCTGCGGCGAATAACAAATGCAGTAATGTCATGAAAGAACTTGAGGAAAGCACTGTCTTCAGTTTTAGATGTCAATCTTTGAATTGAGCTACATTCTTCGAGTTTGGAAACCCTAGCTTCTGCATTTTCTAAGGTGTGAATAAAACTCTTTAAAATTGAACGCTGAAGTAAGTGACAACGAATCTTGAATATTTTTTATGCTCCAGCGCAATTTATAGGATGGCCGAGGCGGTGGTTTTCTATTTCACCGACATTGGCTATTTATTTTTTTTATTATTTAATCGTCGATTGTTGAAATATTGTGCTAATTGATATATTTGGCAAAACAATTAAAAGTATAATTTAAATGTTTTTTTTCTTTGAACATTATATATTTTATTTAAAAAATATTTATTTAACAATTTTTATATTTTAAAATTATATGCTTTTGCAATTTCTTTAATTAAAAATAATAAATTTTACTTACAAAAATTGACCATGTTGTGTTGTTGAGTTTCCACAAATTAAAAGTGATGAACTATCTTATTATTAGTTATCAGAGAAAAATATTAATTAGTGAAATTCCACAAATGCAATAGAATGGAAATTAAAAATAGTTACACCCAAGAGAGGGACTACGATCAATTAATATTTGGGTGACCATTTATCTAACTCCAAATATGCTATTAACCTTCTTTATATAATATTTAACTTTGAAAGGTTGTGAATACTATTCATTTAAATTAATAAGTACATATTTAATATCGAAATTAAAATAGCGAAAGAGAATATAATAAAGAGAAGTAAAATAAAATAAATCTGAAGTCCATTATTTAAATTGTAAAATAAAAGATGAAACATAATGAAAATTAATATATTTTTTAAACTGTTATCAACTTAGATAAAATTGACTAATTCAACCTAATTAAAATAAAGATTGACAAATTAAGTTGAATAATTGAATTTTATAAATACAAAATTGATAATTTATATTTAAAGATTGAATATACTTGATTAACATAACTCAACTTAATTGTGTATTAAAAATAAAAATATTTTATAATAAATATTTAACATCTTGATTTATATTTTTAAATATAATTATTTAAACATCAATCCAATTTTTAGTATAAATATTGATAGATTATTTTAATTAATTTTTGTGCTCAAACTCCATCTGCGAAGAAATGTGAAACTTTTTTAATATTATTATCTTATCTCTAAACCTAACTTAAGACACTTTTACTTTTGCATAAAATGCAATTGCAAATTGCTACATTGATAGACTTGAAAAGTTTTATGATAGCTGAAAGGCTTGAAAAGTGAAATCCGTTATTTTTTAAAAACTTCATTATTAACAAATGTTATATGAAAGATATCCTATAACTTTGGAACGGGTTGTTTTTGCATTTACTCTTCCTGTTACTCCGTTTTCAAGCAATGAAAATAAATCACATTGGTATATATAACGATTTTTTTTAATATGTATCTGAAGTCACATATTAAATATTTATTAAAAATTATAGAATTTAATATATTAATATTATTATAAATTTTAATAAAAAATTAATTGTTATATTTTTGTTGTCTATTCTTAGATATGTATTAATAATAACTTTAATGAATTATTCTTATAATTATAAAAGTTTATTATTTATAAATTTAAGTTTTTATTTTTAAATGAAAATATTTTAAAAATTATTATAATATTTATTAAATTATGTAATGACTTTTTTAATATTGAAGGCTTAATATTTTTAAAATTAGATTGTAATATATTTATTTAAGGATTACTGTTAAAGAAAGATGTTTTGATAAATTATAAACGCTTTGTAATAAGAAAATCGCAAGAACGGAAGAATAGAAGAAAGAAATTGGGGTTTCTGGACAGTGCCTCTGCAGAGTGACAACACTAGAGTGGCTGCAATCTGCAATCTGCAATGGTTTCGTTATCAACATGGTGTCGCTACATTGCCCACAAGCTCGAATACTCCGTTTCCCTCAGCTGGAAGGTTCCTCTTCGCAACAATTTCCTCTTTTCCTTTTTCTTTCTTTTAATTCTATTATTCTTTTAAATATTATGCAACCCTTTTCTTTTTCTGTATGTTTCTTCAATTTGTTATCCGCTGTAATTTTCCTAATAATTTTGTTATCTTCCTTGCGTCGTTGCTGTGCTGGGGTTTCAATTAGGATGTATGCAATGTTAAGGGATTTCTATCTTATTTTATCAGAACTTAAGGAAACATTAGAAAAACAAGGCACTTGAGGGCCATAGGATTTCTAGCTTCCTATATCATGCTTTTTCATCCTTTGCTCTTGGAGTTCTTTTTTAAGTGCTTATGTTTTTTGTTTTTTGTTTTTTTAATTTATCTTTCTTTTACTCTTCTTTTGTTGGAAATATAGCAAATAGAAGAGTTATGAATTCCTTACAGATTATTAAGATTAATATTGTCTCAGGAGTGTTTTTGGGCTAGGCATAATTACTTGATACTTGTATTTGTTGGAGAATTTTAATGTTATTAGGTCAGTGTCTTGTATCACAACGTTGCAATTGTTCATAGTTTTACACACATATATATTCTCTCTTTTCTCCTTTTCCATAATGTCTGTTGAATTTCTGCTATTTGAATTTTAGATGATTATCTTAGGGGACATTTGAGACGTAACTGTATGAAGAGAATATTTTAGCTTAGATATTGAAGGTAAGGTAGCATTTATCAACATTTGGAACAATAACAAAGTTATCAACGAGGCAATGGCACTTGTAGGAATATTCTTTTGTCATAGTTAAAGTTCTACAACTGTGCCAGTGCTAGATTTACCTGTTTTTCCGCTTTTCTGCAGCTGTATTTCATATTGTTAGCACTTTTAAAGCCCCTACTTTGAAGTGGTTTCTAACTATTCGATGTTGTAATGTGAACAGAACTATAAAGGAGGTCAAATTACAGACAGAGAGGTAGGTGATGTTGTTTGGAAAAACTTCTTTCGAGGAAGGATGACATACTTGCACTGGAACAATGGAGAGGAGATGACCCCTACTATTGCTGGAAACGGAGCAACTCTGCTTGTTCGGAAATTACCAACTGCAGACCCAACGTAATTTTATAGTCATCTAATATTTGCATACACTACCCTTTTGTGCAAATTTACTTGCTTTTATATGACTTTCTTGGACTCTTAGTATGTTGTGTCATCTTCTTGGATGTATTATTCCTAGTTTTTTTTTTAGTGCTTAATCAATAACACATTAGGGTAAACCTTGGAGTGACATTAAGTTTAGCTTCTTTGTAACCTGGTGGTCAGGTGCTTGTTGTGGAAACACCCTTCCAACTCATGGTCTAAGAATTTGGATTGTGAGCATCTAACTCTCCCCAAACCCTACATTTGTGGTGGGCCACTATAGTCATTAACTTGGAAGCTGCGAGGAACTCTGAAGTATTGGTTTACTTTCCTTTTTGAGTTCAGATAATGATTTCTTGTCAATAAGTGGCCCATGGAGATTGATATCTGGGACTGTTTCTGTTAAATAATTGTTCTTAAATGTTTGGCCAATATATAATGATTGAGATTTGAGCCTACAGTTTGTGAGTGACAATATTCTTTTTCGTTGTAACAAAATATAATAGTAACAATGAATTTGACTCTTTGTGAAGATATTTAAACACTTTCACATTCCTGTACTTGTCAGTTCAATAGTTGAAACTCTGGGTTGATTTTTACCTGTGAGTCTGTGATGTATTATAACATGAATATGGTGCAGTTCCAGTTTGGCGACATGCTTGATTTTAGCAGATGTAAAGTATAGAACTATAAATTAGCTGCCATCCTGTGGTGAGACAAACTTCATGCTTATCATGTGCCATGGCTACGTGTAGAATTTTTTTAAAAAAAATAATTTGTTATCAGGTTGAAGCTTATGGATGGTATGAGTCATGATCCCTGTCTCCTGAAAAAAAAAAATATTGTTAACTGACTGTCATTTTAAAAATATTGAAGCTAGGTCTTGCTCCATTTTGTTCCTGCCATTCTTGAGTTCTCCATAAGTTGGAGATTGGTTTCCAATTCACTTTTTCAACCAGAGCTCATTGATTAGTGTATTCTCATTAACATTATTTGTTAGTGATAGACATGTTTCTTTGGCAGGCGAGTTTTTGTAGGAGATGTTGTTGTTTTAAAGGACCCTGAGAAGCCAGACAACCACTTAGTCAGAAGATTAGCTGCAATTGAAGGCTATGAAATGGTTTCTGCTGATGAAAAGGATGAACCCTTTACTCTTGAGAAGGATCAATGCTGGGTAGTGGCTGAAAATGAAAAATTGAAAGCTAAGGTAAACACTTTACTTTTCTGTAAACTAATTATTATATTTACATTGACAATTTAATATCACATTTGTTATCCTTAGGTTGATTATTATGCACCTTTGCCGCAATTTCAAACAGTATTACTGTACTAGTGTCATAGTTGAAGATTTAGATTAAAATATCATTTAATCAAGCACGAGTTACCATTGATGACAAGCATTTAAAGTGATCATGTACTTGGAGTTATTTAAAATTTCTGAATTTTATGTGTAAGATTAATGTGATAACAGGATTGTTACAAAGGAAAATGAGAACTGTATTTGATTCTACAGTTTGATTTGTTAAAATATTTTTCTATGATGAATTAATAGATGTTGTAAGCCAATTCTTACACTTGTATCAACGGATCTGACTTTATTGACTGGCTCTGGACTTCATTTTCTAGTTAAACCCCATTTTTCCAAGACATAGAAATGAAATATTTCACAGCTTGGCCTGGCAATTTAGTTAAGCAGCTTTTGCAATTCAGTTTAGGGAGCATTTGAAAGAGTTTATGCAAATAACTTATAATTTTTATAAGCTGTTGTCAGCTTATTTCAATAAGTATTTGTGTATAGATTATCAAAGTAAGTCTTTTTAGCCTATTTCAAAAGATTATATGGTTAAATTTATGTTATAAGCTTTGATATAAAGAGAGCTTATTCAATAAGAGCTAAATAAAACCGTGTTCTCAAATGCACCCTATGGTATGACTAGATGCTAGATGTCTTCAAGTGGAAATCTTCAATACATGTTTTACTTCACTCATGACTTTCATAATTTTTTTTGGTAATATCAAATTAGCTGCTTCTTACACAATAACCGCAATTGTACCTGAAATAAAAAACAACTCTTAACAGAAACAATTCTCAATTTTTTTATACAGCACTGCATGGTTAAGTGGGAATTGAGACTATAATTAATTTTGAACCTGGGACATGTTAGTCTTTTTTTCCTTTACGTCTCCTTTCAGCTTTGAAATTTTGTAAGTGACCAATTAATTATCATTTTAAGCTTTTGTGCATGTTTCCATAAAGGCTAATAGCATCTGCTGTGACATTTTAGCAATGCTTTTGCCTCCTCAATTGCTTGTAAAACATGGAATTATTCTTTGTTTAATGCTGCTAACTCAAATTCCAGGAAGCAAATGATAGTCGAACATTTGGCCCAGTTCAAATGACAAACATTGTAGGCAGAGTCATATATTGCCTGCGAACTGCAGTAGACCATGGCCGTGTACAGAACAGGTGAACTAAAATTTTCAGTCTATTTTTATCACACACGGATGGGGATGGCTCTTAATTGATCATTTATTGATCTATTTTACTCCTTCGCAGTCATTTCGGCATGCGAAAGGACACACCAGTGTTGGAAGTAGAACTTGATGTTGATGAGATGGCAAAGAATCACAAAGCCTAAACTTCTGTCCTGAGAAGCACTAACTTGTTTAGTTTTGTTATGCCTTGGTTTCTTCTTGTGGATTTTCCTTGAAGCACAAATGAAGAATAAAATACATGATATTTAAATTGTTGCAATGGGATGGTGGTGTTATGTGGAAGTCCTTAGCTCTGCATATAAGACGATTGGCACTTTCTTCCCAACCGCAAAATTTGAAGCAACCTGTGTTAAAGCTTGACTTCAACATTATTGTGAGCTGAAGTTCTAGCTAGGACTCCTCTGCGTATTGTTATATTTGTAAGTCATTCATTTGGCTCTAAACTTTGACCAATTTTTGGTTAGCTTGTCAATGGTCGAGGATGATCAAATGCTGCATTGTCAGAAAATATTGTTCCAGATATTTCCATTTTCTTCGCTGCTCAGTGATAAAAAGTTGTGAAGTCGCTAGTGCCACTAGAAAAAATTCCCCAAGAGTTCACTTGCCATTTTTTTATTTCTGAGGTGATGAATAATCCTTGATTTTTATTTTCTTTAGTCTGTTGAGTTAGTTGAATCACACTTGCACACATTCTTGCTTTTACTAAAATTTATTTGTTTTTCTTTTCCTTCTCTGCGTCCAAATTTATGGTTAACGATCTGCTTTAACATAATGCATCCACGAGCGGAATGGATTACTTGGATCGTCTGTTGATAATATAGATTCATCATTTCCTCACAAACTTTCATTCTTCAGTCATGCATTGCTATATTGCTCGCTCTAAATCATTATGATAATTCATTGACCCAAAAAAAAAATTATGATAATTTGCAGAATTCTAATGTAATCATAAAATACTCATTTTATTTTTATCCGCACTTTTTATTATTGAAGGTGGGATAAGTTTTTATTTTATTATTTTCTTTTCTTATAAAGAATTTTATCATCGTTTAGTGATTTATTTGATTTTTAAAAATTAATTTGTGCTTTATTTATTTATTGATACTCTTAAAGTAGTTAATCTCAAAATTTTCCATGTATTTTACAATTTTTTTATTTATATTCTCTCGAATTAATGTCTTTTAAATTTTTTATATTAAACCTTTTTCTTTCGATTCTCAAATAACAACTGATCTATTGTTGTATTTATATATTTAATTAAAGTTTACCATTTTGAGAGTGAGTTAATTATTGTCTTCTTTTAGAGTACACCTATAAATTAAACTGATTTGTTAAAATTATGTGCCATCATATTAGGTTTCCAAATATTTTGGTTGTCAAATTAACTTTAAATATTTAAAATGTCATTTTGACTTTTCAAAAGTTTTGTGAGATGATCTTTTAAAGAATTAAAATGGGTGATATTTATCCTTGCGGAGGGATAACATGTTTGGATACGATGGGACAGTCTCAGACCAAGGTTTTGAGGCTCCTAATGGAAAATCAAAATATATTACAATTTTGTGGTAAAATCTTCGAAAAATTAACATGATTGTGTTTCAGAACTTTGAGGGATTAATATTGGTAAATTGTTTTTTTCAGAAAATCTATGTGACGGCACGTTCGATTTTCCAATTCAAGAATGTTCTCTTAGTTTAATTTTTTAAAGTTTTAGTTAAACATAAATATCAAAGCTTTGTATTTAGTATAAAAGATTTGTAAGGGTTTTGTCATCCATAATAATTTTATTGGACTTGAATAAAATTACTTCAAATAGAGGATACTTGTGATTTAAAAAAAACTAGAAAGGAAGATGCTGTAATATCTTTATCTTGAAAGAGATTATTCTCTAACTATGGATCAAGGAGTACTTTTAATGTGAAAAATATTATTTTTACCAAAACTATGCTTAAAATAAGCTATTTAGAGTATTTTATTTTTGAAATATTTTACATCTAAAATTATGAATTTTTTAATAAGTATTATTAAAATAATAATTAAATAATTAATAAATAGTATTTTTCATTAAAAGTTATGGGATTAATGTATTATTACAATTTTCAACATGAATTTTTACTTTTCCTAACACTATTACTGTGTAGGCCCAAACACAAAATAACCTCTTACAGAATGTTGTGGATTTAGCCCACAAGTTTGGTTGACCTGAGTGTATGATGACAACTCTGGTCCTAAAGAAAAACAAATTCCCGAGAATGTCCCTTATCAAACAAAACAACCTACGAATAGCAGTAAAAGCGGCATTGAGAGTGTTCCCTCTCCTCTGCTCAAACCATGTCCCAAACACTGCATCTCTTCGTCCCCAAGAACCTTGGTTAGTCTCTTTCTCTCTTTCATTCAAACATAAACAAACACAAATTTAACGCTAGGGCTTTCAATACTGTGTTTCTAGTTGGTTAATTGTCCTGTCTCTTTCCAACTGTAATGGTTTCTTAACCCCGTCGTGTATGTTGTCACTTGTGTGTAGCTAATCCATGATTAATCTTGGTTGTTGAGAATTTGATATGTGAATTATTGTTTACCAATTACAGTGGTTAACCAACTAACGATATATATGTTTTTCAACAACTAAAGTAAACATTAACCAAAGGGAAAATTTGGTAATTAAAATATCAGTAAACTTTTGTTGATGTAATATTACTGCTTGTTGAAATGATGGAATGGGGGTGTTAAGTCATAGCCATTCGACACTTGCATTATTAATGGAAGTGCCCCCTTTTTCTCCAGTATTGGTTTTTCTTTCTTTTGAACTACTTTATTTGTTTGTTTTGAGTTTTTTCTATGTTATTTTTGCTTGTCTTAATGATCTTCTTTGTCCTGCATTTTGCAATTTTTGATAGTTTTGACTTTTTATACATCATTTTCTACCGTGGTTATCAGCATCCATTTAGTGAAAGCGAATAATTGAAGTGTAGTGGTTTTAAATATATTGGTCTTCATTGAGAATGGGGAACATGTTTTATGTTGTGGATGACTCTTCGAGGGGCACTCACCAATCTGAAAGTGTGTCACTTTTTTGTTCTTGGACAATTGAACCAATGTGGATCTGCACGTTTCATCTTTAAGCTGCTTGTAGAATAGTGTTAAGCCATGAATAGTTTGTTTTTAAGCTTCCTTTTCCAGAGTTGGCTTCCCATTATTGCTATTAGTCATGATGTCTATCATCACTAAATTCAGATGTTGTGTAATTGGTAGTTGGTACCTTATAGTGGGTTTACATGGTGGGACATGTTTTGTGTCATTTGATATCTTAATTTTTTTCACTGTTCTCATACTTCACATATATCTTCGTGGTAATTAAATTGATTCTATGGTATTGAAGGATGTGGAATGGCAGAAGGCAAGTGTCTCCCGTGCTCAGGTGTTTGTGGAAGGAATGCTGCTGTATATTCTTGCTCTTCTCTAGGTCATCGCAGGATTCATTCTCATGTGAAAGTTAGAGGACTGAAGTGCAGTTATAGGGGTGCATCGTTAGTATGTGAAGCAAGGAGGAGCCCAGATTTCTCAAGGCAAAACAAGCAGGGGCTCTCCAGAAGCAGGAATAGGAACAACGATGGGAGAGATAGCTTTGAGAACTTTGAAGAAGATATGTTATCTTTGAAAAATGGACCACCTGTTTCTCTTTCAGGTTCAGGAAAATTCCAGTCCACTGCAGCCCCTGGTCCTAGAGAGAAGGAGATTGTTGAGCTCTTTAGGAAGGTTCAGGCTCGCCTGCGTGAGAGGGCTGCTACCAAAGAAGAAAAGAGAGTTGAAGCCTCTCAAGGGCAAGGTAAAGAGAACAGTACTGTAGATTCCCTCCTCAAACTACTGAAGAAACACTCAGTTGAGCAAGTGAAGAGAAGCAGTGGAGGAACCAGAGGAAAAGATTTTAGTTCAGACCAGTCACAAGAAAGTAACCAATATGACAGAGGACAAAGCACTAAAATTTTGGATTTGGATAGTGCTCCAAAGGATGAATCCTCAAAAGTCAACATCTCCTCTGCAACCAGGCCTCGGTCAAAATTCCAAAGAAAGTCCCCGGTTCCTCGTGTAAAATATCAGTCTGTCTCTAACAATGAGGATGATATGAATGTAATGCCAGTAGATAGTGAGGATAGAGAGAACAATGAGGATCAGATAGATTTGAAGCTTGATGATGAACAAGAGCCTGACTCTGAATCTGATGTTGATTCAAAGGACGACCTGTTCTTCCCAAATATAGTGATGGCTGAATTGTCAGAGGATGATGATTCTCATGATTCTGAGCAAACCTATAACGATGAGAATGTGGAGGAGCAGCTAGTGGTTCAACATGAGGATTTGAGTGCACTGAAGCTGTCTGAGTTGAGGGCACTTGCAAAGTCTCGAGGCCTGAAAGGGTTCTCAAAAATGAAGAAGGGTGAGCTCACGAACTTGCTAACTGAGAGCTGATTCTGCTTGAATGACATACGAGAAGAAAAAGGGAGAGGGAAACACATGTCATAGTAAAACTAGTTTTCCCCCCCCCCTTGTTTTTAAGTTGACATTCTATCTGATGTTTCTTTGTGTTGCTTCTATTTTTTTTCTCCCCCTAATCTCATTCTTCCAAGTACTTGAGGTTGAGAGTTTGTGGATCATTAGAGTAATCACGATATCTTTTCCTTGGAGGATTTTTAAATCTGTAGTTGTTCCCATGGTGAGATCTGTAAAAATATTGTCAGGGACTCTATTGTCGGTGAATGAAGTGATCCAGGTACTAGGTATTGATAATGTTTATCAGGCTAGTGAGTTTACTATCAATGTCCTGCAAGTTGTTGGACTTTTTACGAGTAATTGTTTTGACATTCACTAGGTGAATAGTAATAAGAAATATTTATTTTTAAATAAGAAAATTTATCTTATCTAAAACTTTTTGAGATTATTTTTTTACTTGGTCCTTTGGTCCAACTTATATTTTTCTAATATTTTGACTCTGTCTATTAGTTTTATTTGGTTAAACCTTATCTATTATAAACCTTATATATTAACAGATCACTCCTTTTTTTCTAACGCATTCTTCTTTCCTCATGCACGTATCTTGCTCTTCTCTGTTTTGTATGAGGCTTGTTTTATGAGATTGATAGAGAAATATATCAAAATAATTTCTTTTTAATTTATTTAGTAAGTTAGAAAATTAGTTTTATAGTCAAATTTAGATAAGATTTTATTGAATAACTACTTAATTAAATTGTTTATGCAAACATGTTCTAATCATGTTTTTGTTTATGAAACTACTCAAGAACAGGCTTAAGGTAGCTTAAAAAATGGGTCTAGCTGCATTTTGGTTTACGATTTTGTTCACCTGCTGTAGGCACATGGTCTGATGCATCAGGCATGATTACCAAAAACCAAACTTTGGCAATATGGCCTTTTGGAGCCTTAGTTACACATGGAAACAAATATGCTATTAATCTGATATCATTTTCGACCTTATCTCTTATATTTTCCATGAAAGAAAGAGGACTCCTTAACTTCATTATTTAGTTTGCAGAATAGATTATATTTGTCTTTTATTTGATCTTAAATTTTGATCAGGTTACTTCTTCTTTTTTCTTTTTTTTAATTTAAACCCGTCTTTAAATTCAGAATTTGATGCTTAAGGGTCTAACTAAGATTAGAGCTAATTATGACAGAATCAGGTTGACTTGAAAAATATTTTGTAAATATGATAATGACCATATGTCAACCTAAAAATAACAAAAAATATTATGGTAGAGCAATTCACAAATATTTTTTAATGGCCAACAAGAGAAGTTACAAGTCTAGCAATGTGTGAAGAAAGGAGAATCGGAGAGGGAAGCAAAATCAAGAAAAGAGGAATGGACGAATCAGGTTTTTTTGCTCTAAGAGTGAAAATAATATGAATTAATGAATATATATATATATATATATATATATATATATATATATATATATGCAAGTCGAATCAAGTGACTCAAGTATTAATATGGAGTTTTCTTAAGTCAACACAAGGTTATGATTTGAAAAATTAACAAAATATTTTTTTAAAGAACAATATCAGACTTGATCATAAGTATTTAAAATGAATTTGGAGACAAGATCAGGTTTTAAACATCCTTATTACATATAGATTGATAATATATAGCTATATATAATGTCCTTCATATTTGCATTGTAATTATTAGTAGTATGATTAACCACTTAAAATTAATTCATACGAGCTTCATATTTTTTTTCTTTTAACTAAAGCCTTTCATCCTATATATCACAAACTAAATCAACTATATATTTTTGGAGAGGTACACAACAATTGGGATGAAGAAATATATAACGGCCAATTGAATGAGGATTATAATACCAATTGAAAAGGAAAATGATGTGGAAAATTGTTCATCAATATTCTAATCAAACTTGTAGGAATGTGGCGAATTTAATGAAACATTTTCTACTTTGAAGGACCTTTCTTTGATTTTGTTCCATCTTTTTCTTTTTTGTCAAAATATGTGTTCGATCTAAAATATGAGCAAACACACCCTAGAATGTCGGCACCATTATTTTCTTTCTTTTTAACAGGAAGTTCATTTTCAGTACACCACCAAACGTGGACAGTGGTCGAGTTGGATGTTTTTTAAGGTGGAAAATAAGAGTTCCCCTACCAAGGGAGTAATAGTGTACTGAAATAACAATATATTTACTCTTAAATTACTTAGTAAATTAAAATGAGTATGTGAGTTAAATAAAATTATAACGAATCATGTTAAATTAAATGTAAAGTCTTAGATTAATTTCTAAAACTGTAGTACAAGTCATCTTAATCTTTAACTTCATAGAATTATTATTCTAACTTTTTAAATTTTAAAAATTATAAATAATTAAGGTAATCAATACTAATAATTTAAAATAATAACAATGGAATGGGCATGGCCCTTGATGAATCTCACAGGCCCATAATTAGTTATTATCCGAATCTAAAACCCACTATTATGTCATGTAATTGGAGTTTGGATTGGAGCCCATAATTAAACTCCTATTTTCCTTTCCTTTTCTTCTGAAACAACAGCACGTGCATGCTTTTGCTTGCTTCCAATAGCAGTTAACATTATAAAATAAAATATCAAAGAACGGATTTTGGGTTGCTGAATTTGTGACGTTGGACACGAGTTCTAATGTGTTCTTTTTTCTATCCAAATTTAATCCCTCACATCGTAAGAAGGAGAAAGGGAAACAAATCTTTTCATGATTTATAATACAAATCATGACGTATACGGCAAACAAGATAAGTAATTAAAACGTAATCCATGACATTAATATTAAGATCTTAATTAGTTAGTTAGCATAATCATGGTCTACTTGAGTTCTGAGGCTTTGTGAAGGTTAGTGAGAGTTTGTGCCTGAAGAAAATCCCTTTATTGCTTCTGTTTAGAAACATTATAATGAGGAATGATATAATATACAGGTTAGGATTAAATTAAAGGCATTTCACACAAAAAAATTATGGGGTTTTATCTGTAGAGGAGGTTGGTAGGGACTTTTTGGTGCAACTTTATAGAACGATACAGCTATGAACAAAAAGATAAAGCTGTCACAACGAAACGTAATTATTATTATAACACATTATTTATTATAATCTAATAAGTTTAATTATGAATAAAAACTCATTATTGCACTTTTTTTCCTGTTAAAATTTGGAACTTTGTAAATATGTAATAGATGATGCCGACGAAAACAATAATAAAACATAAGTGTGTATGTAGTTTCTCTATTAGAATAAAACTTAACATACGTTTAGAACCAATGTAAAAAAAAATCTTTTACATTTTCTTTCCTTAACGTATGCAATGATTTTCTAATGATTAACTAAATACACCCTAAGTAGGTTAGGAAACAGACTTAATTAACATGGGTCTATTAATTTGCTTGAGGTGTATTTAGATAACAATTTAAACAAACACTTATTTAATAATTTTTATTATACAAGAGATTTGTAATATAAATTAGACAATAAAATTTATTGACATAAATTAAAAAAATTATAAAAGTTATAAGTGAATGTTTTAAACTGCGTAAAATAATTTAAACACACAATCTCTTAGCATGCATGAAGTGGCTTCTAGAATGAGCAATGTTGAGAATCATTTGAAAGTTACTCGTAGTACACTGAATCCTATCTATGAGTCCTCCCTGTTTGTGGAGAAATAAGATGAACCTGTCGAAAGTCATGGAATGGTGAGCCTCACATGTTTGCCACAAATGTCACACACAAAGTTAAATGTTTGAGTGTGTCAGATCCCTATTGATTGGGACCTAAAGGTTGACTAGGTTTTTGTTGGAAAAAACACTAGTTTTATGTTATGTTTGGTTTTAAGTTTGAAATGTATATGAGTTTATATTTATTTTAATGTTATTAGTTATAATTTTTGTGTTAGATTTTGTAAAGATGACAAAATTATCTGTATTTATAAATATTAACTATAAATAAAAAATTAGTTGTATTCATAGTAGGTTTTAATTAGCTAATTTTGTTGCATTAGTCCACAGTACCCTTATGAAGTTGTTATTTGTCTCCATCAACATAATACTACCCCTATCTGTATATGAAAAAGGTTGCAATTATTTTTAATGGCCCTTTCAGTTTCCTTTTCTGCAATTTTAAGCCTTTTAACCATTTTCTATATTATATAAACTATATAAGATATGGATGAGGAGTTTTAGTTTCCATAAGCTCTCAGAGAAGTCTAAAATCATGCAAGGTGGAATTTATTTCCATGAGTAGTGTTATATTTTTTTTTATCTTATAATAAGTTAAATATTAAATGAAAATATAAATCTAGAGACATCCTATGGTCTCGAAATTTAGGAAAAAATGGAAAAGTAAATCTATTTAGTTTCTTAAAAAAAATTAAAAATATTTAATACAATCTACATGTAATAAGATGATTGTAAGAAGATTTTTGAAAAAAAAAAAACTATTCTTATTTCATGCATGTGTAGATTCTTTTCTGAAAGAAGTCGGCATTATTTTATTTGACCAAATTAAATTATTATGAAAATTTGGAAAGTTTGTCAATCATTTGATTGCAGTTGGTATTAGGTTGTCTGCAATCTACTAAAAACAGAGACATTCATTTAATTGTGGCTTGGAATCCTAATCACAGTTTTAGAATTGAGATCAGCAGATTCTAAACAGGAAACAAACTAAAAAATAATAATTAAATTTATACTCATGACAAATAATAATTTTGGAATTTCACTTGCCAAAACCAAATCGTTGAAACATTTTTTTAAGAACTTAAAGTGGCATTTAATTGTAACTCTATGTTGTTGTATTTGAAAAAGTATAAAACTTGTCATTTTTTCTTGCTTAGGTCATTAAGGATTATTGCAATGGCAACAAACAACATAGAATACAAATTTTGATGATAAACCTGTGTTAGGTTGGAATGGAAGAAGATTTGTATCATTATAAAATGTAGTCTAAGGAGGAGTCAAGAGTGTGGAGTTTAGTTTCTCACAAGTTAATTAAGTGTGAGTATATTTTAAGAAACTAAAAATATGTATACCTTTTTATCTAAATGCTTGTGTTTAACATGAAACTCATTCATCTCAAAAGTAGAAAAAGAAAGAAACATATTAATTGTGGGTTTTGTAAGACAATATAATTAGTTAATTATTTAATAAATATTTTTTTATGATAATTAAATCATAAATTTAACAGAGAAATTTGACTCAATCTAACTATATATATATATATATATATATTTATTTATTTATTATTATTATTATTTTCTAAATTGACCAAATTTTAAAAAACATATGCAGCATTAAAAAATACTATGTAGAATGTTGTTAAAGAAACCATCAACATATTTTTTTTCATCTTCCATATCCGATGAGTGGTGAATATGTAAACCACAGTAATGTACATATTTTATAATTATAATTTAGATTAACAACATAAGCTTTTGTTTTCTAAGAAAATATTTCTCATTTTCTCCAACCTTTTGACGCAAACTGTCCAAAGATGCGAGACAGCATATCATACAGTACAAGTCGTTGAGATTTGCATCAATTTCCACTTTTGCCAAAGGGAAAAATGTGTTTGCCAAATACAGGGTTTTTGTTTGAGCCGAAAATGCAAATAATGGAATTTGCTGTCTGAGATTTGAAATTTTTATGCCTGGATTTGGGGGAAAAAATATACAGCTTTGGAATATTGTAATAGTATTACAGCAAGAAAAAAAATGAAAAAAATAACATATTAATTATATTTTTCTAATTTTTTAAAGAAAGGAAACGATGTCCATTTTAAAGTAGAAAAAATCACTAAGTTTATCTCTAATTAAAGTTAATTTTTATTGTTATAATAGTATTAATTATTAGCAAGTTAAAAAGGTTCAATAATAAAAAATAAATACGTAAAAAAATAATAAAAACTCTTGAACTTTTATAAATAATCTTAAATACCAAAAATATATGATAATTGTTTTAAAGAAGTAATATCAAGCCATAAAGGATAAGAATGTGCAAGAAACATTAATCCAGTAGGAAGAAACGAAACCATCACTCAATATTAATAAATAATAATCGTTCATATTTGAATAATCATATTCACATGTAAAAAATAGGAAGAGATTTTTTTGAAATAGTCTTTATTTTGTGTTTTCTGCCTTTTAATTTGATGAAAAAACTATAAAATAAAACCTCAAATATGTAATCTGCATTTGTCTCCTCTCACCAGTGTTCATTATTTTCTTAATTAAATTTTGTAACGCAAAACATAAAAAATTAGCAACCGTATCCGTATGACATGAAGGACCCACCACATTAATCCATTTTTATGTAATTTTTTTCTTTAAAATCTTTCCGTTGTTGTTGGTGGTGTTGTTGTCGGACCCTCTCCTTTCTCCAAGGCTTTTCAGACAGCTTTGTTGGGATGAATGAATGGATGAAGGAAGATGATGGCCTTCAGTGACAACGATTTCAATTCATAAATCACATGCTTTTTGAAACTTCCATTCCATTCCCTTATGGTTTGAAGCTGATCACGATCTGTTTTACCTGCCCCATTTCAGTTTCACGACCATGCATATAGGTATGAGTATGCAATGATCCAAACCTTTTGTTTTGGCTCATAAAAAATGTAATTTTTAATTTTAAAAAATATATTTTTTAGTAGATTTCTCAGGGTACCCTTTTTTTGTTTTTGATTTATTGGTGGATCAATTAGTTCTTCCATCACTTTTACTGAAAATCTGAGCTTTGGGTGGTATAAATTTGGAAGCGTTTGATGAAAACTCCTTAACAAATGGGTAACTTTTGCTATGTTGTTGTTAGAACTCTTTGTTACTGATTTATTGGATTGGTTAATGGAAAAAGTTGCATGCTTTCCATTTGGGTGTTGGTGGAAAATCTGTGGATAAGTTGTTAAGAAAAGAGGGTGATTTAGAATATTTTATTTATGCGGATGAAGAATTCTCTTTGAGCTTTGTAGTTGAGTTTGGTGCTTTTAAGTGGACGTTGTTGACTTCCCACGAATATTTTACTGTAATGTTTGAACCAAAAATTCTTTCTTCTTTTGTGGACATTGACTTGTCTTGCATGCACCATTTTCATTTGGGATAGGCCTGTGTCACTATTTCCACAAAAGTAATGTCGCATGCACCCTTTGCTTGATCATTAATAACCTCTTTGTAATTTTGTAATAGACCTGTTCTTTCTATGAGTGGATTCTATATACCTTTTGGATTCAACAAGGTTTATGTGTAATGTCTCCTTTAGTGTGATATTCAAATATGCACTGGAGTCTACAGTGAGAATATTGATCAAAATTGGAGTCTACCATGCACTGGAGTCCTATTTAATTGTTTCAAATGAATATAGGACAAAATAAGGGACTATCTTACACATTTAAGTCAATTCCCTGTATATCTTATAATGCTTCATTTAGAATCAGTCTCTTGTTTCTGTAATATTAGTTTGTTGTATGGTTTCCCTTGAGCAGGTCAAATGGACAGAAGTTCTGTGAAATGTCTAATCAACAGCATTTCTCGATTCATTCATCTGGTTTCTTGCCAAACAATGAACCCTATGCCCCTCCAGAATATCTGTAATAATATGGTTGGGGTGTTAAAGCATTTGAAACCAGTGCTTGATGATGTTGTGGATTACAAAATCCCTTTAGATGAGAATCTATTTGAAAAGTGTGAGGAATTGGAAATGCGAGTTAATGAAGCTAGAGATTTCATTGAAAAATGGGGTCCTAAGATGAGCAAGATTCACAGCGTAAGCAATTTCTTGTATTCTTAGTCAAATTCCATTACCCAACAGCTATAATTTCATCTTGTTTAAGATCATTGGCTTCTTTATTGACATTTGAAAGTTGGAAGAGACAACACCTCCACCATTTATCTTATTCTCTGGGTGAGGTTATTGCAACCCCTTGATTGTTTTGTCGGGATTACTCTATTTTCAGGTTCTACAAGGTGGGATGTTGTTGATAAAGTTACAGAGCACTTCACTAGATATTTGCCACATGATAGTTAGATCTTTTCAGTCACCTCCATCTGCATCAGTTTTGGCTAATCTTCAGGTATGTGGAAAGATTGAGGTTGCCTCCTCTATCTCTTCTTTATTTAGGAGAATCTTCTGGTTGATTTGCTTCCTGATCATTTTTCTCCAACCCCACATACCTCCCAAAAACAAAAGTAGAAAAACATATCAAAATCCTGTATTTAGCAAGAAAAATCATTGTCAATTTTCCGGTTGTTTTTTTGATCTATTTATATGACATTAATGTCCAGCAACTTTTTCAGCACTATATCCAGGAAATTCAGTGTCTCAAGAAGGAAATGGCAATGGTATGTATAGAAGAAGCACTGAGAAACCAAAGAAACAATATTGAACCTTGCAAGGAGCATCTCAAAGAAATTATTGGGTTACTTAAATTAACATCAAAACAGGAACTCGTAAAAGAAAGTATTGCTGTGGAGAAAGAAAGGTTGAATGCTGAAGGCAACAAAATGAATGTGGACTTGGAAGAAATTAAAGAAATTGTAAACCTTGTCCATAATTTACGTGGTTATGTGATGGAAACTGAGGGTCCTGTACTCAAGAGTGGTGTCTCAATTCCTCCAGAATTCTGCTGTCCTTTGTCAATGGAACTCATGTTGGATCCTGTTGTTGTGACTTCAGGTCAAACATATGAGAGGCGATTTATTGAAAAATGGCTTGATAATGGGCTCACTGTTTGTCCTAAAACTGGTCAGAGACTTGTGCATAGAAATCTCACTTCCAATTTGGCTGTCAAATCTATGATAGCAGCATGGTGTGAGGAAAATACTGTCAAACTTTCCAGTAACTCTGAGCACAATAAATCTTCCCACATCACGTCCGTCTCAAATCAATTATTGCCTCAAGATTTAACTCATGATTGTTCTGTTGTGTCTTTATCTAGTAGCAATTCCATTTCAAGATCGTCTCTTCAAACTGCAAAGGATGATAACTCTTTCAGATCATGTGGAGAATACAATGGATGCCAGAGTGGAGCAACTGAAAAGTGTGAGCAACAATCCCCATATATTCACAGCAGAAGCGAATCATCTTCAAGTTCAATTTCTAGTGCTGATTGTGCACTTGCAGTTTCGAAGGAGTTGTCTGGGATATCAAATAAGCATCAAAATGTGAAGGTGCTGTCTGAAGAAAAAACAAATGTGTGTCATGGTGATAAGCAATCAGAGATATCTCCTTGGTTATCTGGAAAGCAATTTCAAAACCCTGGATCACATGTGGGAGGGTTGGAGAATGGAAATACCAACAATAGTGATACTAATAATAGTCATTCAAGAGTTGATTCCAATCCTGTTGTCAACTCAGGATTGGATGAATTGACCACCTCATCTCGTGTCAATAAATTGATTGAAGACCTACACAGCAAATCAATTGAGGTGCAAACTACTGCTGCAGAAGAATTAAGGCTCCTTACAAAGCATAACATGGAAAACCGTATCTTAGTAGGGAAATGTGGGGCTGTCATGCCTTTGATTTCGCTGCTATATTCAGACATGAAGAAAACACAAGAACATGCTGTGACAGCTCTGCTGAATTTATCTATTAATGAAAACAACAAGGCCTTGATTATGGAAGCAGGAGCTATAGAACCACTTATCCATGTTTTGAAGACAGGAAATGATAGTGCCAAGGAAAATTCCGCAGCAACTCTATTCAGTCTCTCAGTAATTGAGAACAATAAGGAAAAAATTGGCCGTTCTGGAGCAGTTAAAGCTTTGGTGGATCTTCTTGCCTCAGGAACTTTCAGAGGAAAGAAGGATGCTGCTACTGCTTTATTTAACCTGTCAATATTTCATGAGAACAAAGCTCGTATTGTTCAAGCCGGAGCAGTGAAGTTTCTGGTTCGGTTAATGGACCCTGCTGATGGAATGGTTGACAAGGTTGTTGCTCTTCTGTCAAACCTGTCAACAATTCCAGAGGGGCGACTAGAAATTGCAAGGGAAGGGGGCATTCCCTTAATAGTTGAAGTTGTTGAGTCAGGTTCCCAGAGAGGAAAGGAAAATGCTTCCTCCATTCTCTTGCAATTATGCTTTCATAGTTCTAAGTTCTGTACCCTGGTTTTGCAAGAAGGAGCTGTACCTCCCCTTGTTGCATTATCTCAATCTGGCACACCAAGAGCAAAAGAAAAGGTGCGGAGCTTATCATCCTTATTGATGGTTAACATTTTTATTGTGTGAATACACCTACCAATATCAGTTTGCTGCATTTGGCTGAGGTCTTGTCCTTTTCATGTGGTAACATAGTGTCGAAGCCTTAAGGGTGAACCATAATTATGCACTCATTTTGTTGAAACTAGGGGCTTCAATCTTTTTTTTCCCATATTTTCTCATAGTGCATGCTTTTCCCTTCTATTATATGAACATGGAAGATTTCAATTGTAGTAACTTATGAAATTTATCACAACAAACTTTAGTGGTCATGGCATACAGTATCTCATAATCTGTAAGGTCTAAGAAAAAATACTGACATGTAGATGTTCATGCAGGCACAACAGCTTCTGAGTCATTTTCGTAACCTGCGGGAAGGAGCTAGTGCAAAGGGAAAGTCATGAAAATAGACAATTTTGGTTATATCGTTGGCCTTTATTTTTTCTCCCCTAAGTAATGTGATAGCTGCTGTGTAGGACTTTAGGACTTTTATTTATTGCATTCTTTTGATTTTTACATGTATAATTTGCAAAGCTGTTTATTTTTTAATCTTTCAGTGGTTTGTGATTGCTTATTCTCAACTTCAAAATGGGACATCACTTCCACGCTGCCTCTTTTGTCCCCCTAATGACAGGGTTGTTAAGTATTTTCCATTTATTTTTGTGGACTTGTATTTTTTCCTTTTCTTTTGGTAGCTATTGTTGAGAGGAGTTAGGCTACTTTATGAACATTTAGCTTGGCAAGATGTAAACCTCAATGCTAATCTACTAAAGCATAACTGATGTGGTCCCAAGTCAATGATGTACATATTTATACATATACTATAGAATCTTGTGATCTACTATAAATTATTGTACCTTGTACTATTTTTTGGGCTGTTTTATTGCTATTTGTTCAACCTTGTCAACCTATATTTTTCAGGCTCCTATACACTAATTTTTGTTAGAGTTTTGTGCTCATGCACAAGATGGTTAATACACATGTTATGGTTAGTTAAACGGGTTTCATTAAGCATAGAAGAGTTTTAATGTTTTATCTCCAAATAATAATAATGATAATAATTGTTGTTGAGGTTGTTTTCCAACGTTACTCAAGCTACCCACTGGGCCTTGTTGTCATAACCAACATAATTCTCACCGTGGGTATATTATGTATCACCTAAAGGGCCTTGCTGTCTTCACTAAAATAAACATTGGGCTTTAGAGGTTTGATAAGATGGATGAAGCAGGTTGGTGGCTTTGAGTCACCCAATTCAACTTGCCTAAATAGTGGGTTAACTAGGTTAGCAAGGCTCGATTTATTGCTCTTAGAACTCAATTTTTATAATTTTTTATAAATTTTAATTAATAATTAAAATGCAGTAAAAAGTGTGTTATTAGTATTTACTTTGAATTTTTAGTTTTTCATATTAATAATTTTTATTTTAACTCCTTTTAAATATATTTTTTTATTTTTATTTCTACATTTTTTTGAATTTTTTTTATTATTGACATAATTAAGAGATTGTCGTATGTCAACTTTTTTTGTTATATATCAATAAGAGAAGCTAATAATAATAACAATAATGATAATATAAAAAGTAAAACTAAATATATTTACTCTAAACCAAAAAAATTGTTATCATAGAAAGAATAAAAAAATATTTAATCTTTTTTTTTTTTTTTTACTATATGATAAAATCATGTAAAGTAGTTGAGGTCCTGAAATGGAGAATAAAAAAAAAAAAAAAGTGGGTCCTACTTGCGATCCCCACGACCCTGCAAGGCCCACATCCACACTTGTCGCTATTCTCTGCTCACTGTTTCGTGACAAGACCTCCCCAAGGTAAATAAAATGCATCCCTACCATCCACGTGGCGCTTTTATAACCCTTGGATCTGATCAATTTCGTTCTCTTTATGCTTTTCCAAAAGAAAAATATATAAAAAAAAAAGTGAAATAAGAATTATGGGGGCCCGGTTTGACCTTTCTGTCCTTTCCTTACGATGAAGATACATTGGCACAGAAACTGATTAATTTAGAAATTTTTCCTTTTTCTAAATGAAATTATTCTTTATTAGATAATGAAATAATGATGAGGACATTTCACGTCAATTACCATGGAGCTATGCAGATTCTGCATAGGGTCCACCTTAATATAATAATTATTTGGTATAAAGGCAATGTAATTATTTTTGTTATTGATGAAATGCAAGGAACTATTTAATAATTAGATTTTGTTAAATCAGTCCTCTGAATTTAAGTATTTATAAACTATTTTTTATTAAAAAAATACACATTTAATAAAATTTCATTGTTATCAATTATTTATCATCAAAGACTGAAGTTCATATCATTTTAATAATTTAAGTAGACGTGAGATGTAAAACCAACAAGAGATTAGTGCTGTTATTACTTCAATTCAATTATTTGTATATATCAAAATAAATATTGTCACTGTACATGAATGTAGTTAAAGAGTATATGATGAAAATTAAAATTAAGTAAGTGAACATTCTAAACCTATCAAATTCTCCATGTTAAATCTCTGTAGGAAAATAATATGTTGTAAAGCGATATTTTCCACATTTTATTGATTTCTATATCAAATTAAATATTTTTTTTTTCTGTTCAGCAATACCTATTACATGTCATGTTGTTGGCAATGATTCAGAGGTTAATTTTGTATTGTTCCACAAAAATATTCTGATTTATATGATATTGGAAATTTACAATGTTAGACCAGTCAGTTCAATTGATAAAAAATGAACATAAACTTATTTTAAAGGTAAAGTACTTTTTATAATTATAACTAAATACAAAATAAGTTTTATTATATATGAAATATCTGAAATAAAAATACTTTCCTATCTAAAAATGACCCTTTTTTCATGAATCAGCGCACAAATTGACTTTTGAACATTTTTAAGTTTACCAAAATTAGTGTGTGATTGGTTTGATTTTCTGGGGAGAAAAATTGTAAAAAAGAAAGAGAGAAAGAAAGCAGAGATGGTGGCAGACACAAACTTGGACTCTCCCTCATTCTGGCTTATAAATATTTGCAGCCTTTCCTCTTTGAATCTCAAACAATTAACGCTGCATGCCATGCCTTTCAAATAGCAATTCCTTCTCTCAATCAATCATTTGAGAACTTCATAATTAGTATTTGAGTAAAAGTTACATGACATCAACTTTTACTCAAACTATGGTTTGAAACTTTTTCAAACACAGTAAAAGAAGGAGAAACATGTCCTTAGATGTTCTCTTAATTGTTTTTATTTATATCATTGGTATTCAGTCATTGTATTAGTATCCATTTCTTTTCAAATTTAGAGTTTAAATAGAATTTAGGCTCTTCATCTCTTTGGCAGGTGTATTTTGTCCTTATCTCCAATATGTTTCATAAACATTTTTTGGTTACTTTATATATAACTTTTTCCTTATTTTTATCATGTTAAGAATAAAATGTTATTTATATTATTAATTATTCAAAAATACTTAGAATGTTATATATGGAATGCTAAAAAAGGAGAAGGAGAAATTTTTTCATAGTCTCAACCAACGGTAGCACAACATATGTGTATTTTTATATATAAAAAAAAATAGACACATAACAAGATCACATGATTTCAGAATATTCAAAAATTTTGAGAAAAAAAGGTTATTATTTGTTCTTGTCATATTTGTATTTTCTCATCTTGATAAATAACATGCTAATATGATCATATCTAGAAAAATACGGTTTTTATTATGTTTAATTAATAAAACTTATAATCAATTAAAATAAATTGTTTGATAAAAAATATATCTATTTTAATATAAGAGGATTTAAATTTATTATTATCTTTATTCTCATCGATTTTTCTTTTTACTAAATTTGAATTTCTAAATGAAATTGTCCCGAAGTTTTGCAATCGAGGTATAGCACCAGAGGGATTCAGATGCACCTGATCGTGAGATAATCCCAATCAATGGTCAGATCAACTTTGACTTACAATACTAGATAATCTGAAGAGTTAATTAGTTACCTTACATTTAGGGTATGTTTATATGGAGAATAAAATGTTTAATCACACTTTTGATTGTTATAATTTTGATAAATTTTTATTTTATCTTTATTTTTAAATTCAGAAAATTTGATTTTTTTTCCAATTAAATTATCTTCCATCAAAATATTTAAAGATATAAAATAAGTTAAAAAAATTAGTAAAATTTGGGTTTAAAAGTGAGAATAGAAAATTTTAAGTTTTTTTAATAGTAAAAATTAATATTTTAAAATATTTTAAACAAAAAATAATTTAATTTATGTAAAAAATGAGAATATAAATATTTTGGGTAAAAAAATTTGACAGATGACAATTTTGTCCAAAATTTAAAATAAAGATATTTAATAGATTATAAAAAATTAAACAATTAAAATTACACAAAATTCAAAATAAAATACCAGAAATATAATTACGTCAAAAGAAAATTAAAAATGTTATAAATAAAAATGTAAAAAATAAAAATGTAAAAGAATATGTTATATGTTTGTTTAGGTCGTGCTCAAAATAAATTTTACACACTATAACATAAATTTCAAATTAAAATTAATATATACACATTTTAATCATTTAAAATTAATTCTATCAAAATAAATTATATCATAATTCAAAACAAGCCAGTATTAAGCAAATTAACCTTCAAATCCCAATCAAACATATCCTTTAAATGGTGCTAGCTAGGCATATGATGGCGTTGATGATTAGAAATTTACAACTGTTTTTGTTTGGACTCATTATAGCTGCTATAATTGAGATTTGGTTTTTTGATGTAGCTATAATGGAAAATTTAACGCCACAAAATGTGGTAGTCAATTTTATAAGTATATATATATATTCTTTTTCTGATGAAACTTTATAGGGGACTTCTTAATTAAAAGTATTATGATGATTACTTAAAAAGAAAACACAGGATAGTGGTCTCTGTACTGGAAGATAGGCTAGGACTTAAGAGATTTTTACATAAAAAAGTGATTAAAAATTATTACAAAAATTATATGTATATATATGTGTGTGTTTTTTTTATATATATAAATTATAGTTTAATTTTGTTGATGTAATTATTTTTTACATTTGATAAACAGGTTAAAACGTTTGCCACTAAAGACTTTATTTTATGAACAGTGTTTTTAACACGTCTAAAGATACACAATAAATGGTTATTAAAAATACAATTTAATAATTAAAAATATATATATACTTTCTTAAAATGTTATAATTTTTAATAAAATTTACCATTTATTAATTTTTAATTACGTATATTTAAGCAAATATTAAAATACAGTTTGATAAATATAGCAATAAAAAATTTAAAACTCAGCTAATAAACCAAGTCAAACGCTACCCTAACACTTTGATTGATTGAAAGAAGAAAATGCACAAGGCAAGTTGAAGAAAGGAAAACAAGAATTATGTATTTTGACAAGAAGGAGGGAATAATTTAGTGGTAGGACCTGTTAAAAAAAATGTTTTTTCACAAATTAGAAAGTAGAGAAGAGAATAGCTATTTTTTATTTAATTAAAACTAATTTCAATTTAAATTATTTTTACATGATACAAAAATATTGTTTATTAGTTAATTAAGTTTTTAAAATTATCATATTTTTTAACACAACTTACTTATTTATTTTTACCTTTTTTTATTATTCATCTAAATAAAAAAAAAAGTTATGTATTTAAATCTCTATGTTATCATTCATACAACCCTAATGTAAAAGCAAGTTAAAGAACAAAGAATGACTAAAGTTTTATAAAGGCTAACTTTGGCCATGTTTCTAGCCTTGTGACTATGCTATATACTAGAATTGAATTAAGTTTAAATCAACCTTAGAAACTATTTTAAAGGTTACTTTTATATGCTCAACGTCAAACACATCATCAGGAT